AAACTCAATAAAACTCTACATGAAAGAAAAATAACAGTTGTCATTTTAAAAAAATAAAATGGGCTGAGATGTGACAGTGGCCTCTAGTTTCTTTTTTTTCTTCTGCCCCAAATTCCTTTTGTTTTGTACACGTTTCTTCCACCATCGACTTTAATCCCTTAGAAACTTTGGAACTTAAAAAAACTTACATCAATGAAGGACCCTTGTCTGAAGATGTGTATAGAACAATGACGTCACGATGACGTCATCAAGTGATTTATTATTGATTTTTGAATATTTATTTCAGCCATTGACTTTGTACACGTTTTCTGGACACTATCTTCAATTGTAACCACAGTTATAGCCAACAAAGACCCTGATACAAAAAATGTTAAAGTTTATGACGTTATGAAGACGTGACTTTTTAAATTGATTTTTGAATGTTTTTCCCGAAAGATTTCGTACACGGTTTTCAAAAGCAAGACTTTGGGACTGTGGCCAATCTTAATTGACTTTATATTTGTCTACACGCGTGACATGAGGTTAAAGCTGCAGTTTTCTCATAGGTTTTGTAGACATTTTTGTACTAAGACACGTATATCGATTTTGATAAGTGAGTAATCATTAACTTCGGCTGAAGATTACTATGAGAACGAAAGAGAAATCGTATTATTTCGTCTTCATTTGATTTCAAATGGGCCCAAGAGTCAGAATATCAAGTAATATTTCATAAAAATGTTTCAGATTAAATTGAAGTCACGTGACTTGAATTGAAAAGTGCAGAATTTCTGCACTCGGACTTTTAGCCCATTGATTTTGTACACCTTTTCAAGTAATCATTTTGGTATCGTGGCGATCTTCGATTGTCATTAAAGTTACAGCCAACAAACCCTGATACAAAAATACTCAATTTAATAACGCCATAATAACGTCATCTTCTGATTTTTTTGAATTTTGAACATTTTATATTCCCTATAGGTTTCAAGCGTGTTTTTTGTTCCACAGCCAGTCTTCGGAAATTTTCTTGATCTGACGGGCTATGTATTAGGTGTGTACTCTTTAAATCCCCAGCTAGAGAGGATCCAAGAACAACATCGTCATAATGACGTCATATGGTGCCAGGTGACATGAAATTAAAGGAGCAAACTTCAAAGCCTTATATGTCCTGAAGGACATGTCTCATTTGGTTGAAACCTTACGGGTATCTAGAAAGGGAAGTGTCATAGACTAAAATTGACTGTCATCATGTGACGAGTCACGTGACATTAAAGGTGCACTCTTTCAAGCAATGGATCTTGTTAAGTACTTGTGCGATTGGGTTTAAACCTTGCATTTAGCTTGAAGGGGGCTTTAGACAAATAATGACCTGATGTGATGATGAGGTCATCAGAATACATGTCACGTGACATTAAAGGTGCACTCTTTAAAGCACTGTATCTCGTGACATACATGTTAAGTACATGTCTGATAGGGGTCAAACTTTGCAGATATGTCGAAATTGAGGGTTTTAGATGAACATTGACCTTAAGTGATAATGAAGTGTCATGTGACAAGTCACGTGGCATTAAAGTGCACTCTTCAAAGCACTATATTTCGTGAAGTAAATGTCAGATTGGTTTGAAACTTTGAGTATAATTGGAGAGGGAAGGGTTTTAGGCAGAAATTGACCTAATCTGATTTGTACGTCATCATATAACAGGTCACGTGACATTAAAGGTGCACTCTCTGGAGAAGTTTATCTCCTGAACTTCATGTAAGATTTGGTCCAAACATTGCTGAGATCTTGAATGGAAGTGACAAGTAACATGACATTAAGGTGCACTCTTTAGAGCCGTATATCTCGTGATCTACATGTCGTATTTGGTTGAAATATGGTTGATGGCTTTAATGGGAAGTGTGATAGAAAAGTGACAAGATGTAAAGGGTGCAAACTTTAATTCGTTATATTTCCTAGTGTCTGAAAGGGTTTTGAATATTTTGTCATAATTAGGTCACCCAAATACTATTAGAAACTTTGGGAATTATTTGTAGCTCTGGGATAGATGTTTGAGTAAGAAATGAGAAATCCAAATGTGGCAGTATCTCAAATGAAGAAATGCCCTTTTCGTAGGAAAAAACGAACATGCGAAAAAGCCCTTTGCTCTGTCCTTAAGACAGACAAAACTTCTTTTTTTTTAGCTGTTTCGGCAAGCTAGCCGAAACAGCTTTTGTTTTTTTATGACAACGACAGAGAAATCAGATTAATTTTACCCTTTTGTTCGATTACAAAGATACCAAGGTGTCCAAATATCAAGTAAGCTTTTATAGATATTTTAAAATTCAAACGCACATTACGTGATATCATTTTCAAGGTGTAGTTTGTCCCCAAGGGTTTTGAGCAAGCTTTTTCATGGACTCTCAACTTCAGCTGCGAATTACTATGAGGACGAAAGAGAAAACAGATGTCATCATCAATTTCAGTTATATGGCTTTTTACACTTTTTTGAGCCACCCACATTTTTTTTCTAGATACCCATCACACAGACCATTGCCAAAACAGCTTGTGTTTGTCAACAAACACGGGTCTAGTCTCCTTCTGATGATGACCCAAATTCCTTTTGTTTTGTACACGTTTCTTCCCCCACCGACTTTAGTCCCTTAACAACTTTTGGATCTTACATCAGTGAAGGACCCTTGTGTAAGGATGCGTCTAGAACAATTACTTGATGACGTCATGATGACGTCATCAAGTAATTTTTTTTATTATGATTATTTAAGTGACTTTGACTTTGTACACGTGACATGACACTATTTTGGTCATTTGGTCAATTGTAACCAATGTTACAGCCAACAAAGACCCCAAAACAAAAGAAGTCCAAATTTATGACGTCATCATGTGACGTTTTATTGATTTTTTTTATATTTAATTTTTGCTCTTAGGATTGCACCACACCAAATACGCGCCAATAGAAAACAGTGCAAAATCGGACCGAAATAGCGCCACCTGTTGACTCTTGTGAAGAGGTTGGCCTCCGTTTTTTCACAGGAAAATTCAAGATTATGGCCGGGGGATTACTCTTCCTTTCAATTTCGTTGGGGTTAGCCACAACAAAAAATTATTCACCTTTCAAGGAAGATACCCCCATAGCAGTAAAACTAAGCGCTCATTTCTGAATGTAGCCGCCCGCCTCTATCCAAAATAGACCTGCAATTTGGGGCTTTTTATGAAAGAAAACCGTGAACTGGAAACTATCACTCCCAAATTCGGGATTTATAGAAATATTTCTATGGTCCCTCCTGATTTTGGTCTGTCTTATTGGAAAAATCCAGTGGGATCACAAAATACGCGCAGAAAAACAACCATTTGGTGGAATGCACTTTTCGGTTTTTTACAAGTTTTTCGACAGCCAGACATCAGGACTCTGGTAACTCTAATTGATTTCATATTGGTGTACACTCGTAGTTCACCACGTAGCGAGGGTCCCAGAATAAAATCGTCATAATGACATCTTCAGGGGTCACGTGACGTGAGATTAAAGAGGCAGTTTTTCGGCATAGATTTTGTACACGTTGTTTTTAATGCACACTATAATTAAGTTTGATGAGTGAGTAGTCCTTAACTTCAGCTGAAGATTACTATGAGGAGAAAGAAATCGTATGTCTTTCGCTCTGATATTTTGTTTGAAATATGCCCAACAGTCAGAATATTAAGTAACATTTCACCAATATTTTTCAGTTAAAACGCAAATCACGTGACTTGCAATTATAGGTGCAGTTTTTCTGCACCGGGATTTTTAGCCCATTGACTTTGTACACGGTTTCAAGCCATCATGTTGGTAACTTGGCGATCTTGAATTGTCGTCAAAGTTACAGCCAACAAAACCCTGATATAGGATACACAAAATACGCCAATTTTATGACGTCATGGTGAGTCACCTTCTGACGTTTTTTATTGATTTTTGAATATTTTATATTCCTAATAGGTTTTGAACATGTTTTTTGTTTTTCTGATCTTACTATGTATCTTGTTTGCACTCTTTCAGTCCCCCAGCTGGAGAGGATCCAAGAACATCATCATAATGACGTCATACGGTGTCAGATGACATGACTTTAAAGGAGCAAACTTCGCAGCTTTTTTATCTCCTAAAGGACATGTCCAATTTATATGAAAACCTTGCAGGTACCTGGAAACGGAAATGTCATAGACAGAAAAGACCTCATGTGATGATGACGTCATCATGTGAAAAGTCACGTGATATTAAAGGTGCACACTGCAAAGCGCTATATCTCGTGAAGTTCGTGTCCGATTGGGTTCAAACTTTGAAATTGGGGGCTTTAGAGGAACATTGATCTTAAGTGATGATGACGACATAATGTGACAAGTCACGTGACATTACGGTGCACTTTCAAGGCACTCTATCTCGTGAAGCACATGTCTGACTGAATTTAAACCTTGCAGGTATCTTATAAGGGGAAGGCTTTAGACGAGTTAAAGAAGAAGTGAAGTGACGTTAAACGTGCACACTTTAATCTCCATATTTTCTAATGTCCAAAAGGGTTTGCGCATTCCGTTATTATGACGTCACCAAAAAAACTATTAGAATTACTTTTGTAGCTCTTGGGTTTATCTTTGAGCAAAAAGCCAGAAATGGAAATGTGCTAGTATCTCAAATGAACAAATCCTGTTTTTTTCTTAAAGAAAAAAAAGGAAATGCGAAAAAGCCCTAATTTGCTCTCCCTCGGCTTGTTTCTTTCTTTAAAAATTGTTTGGTTACCATATTGGTGGGCTTTGCTAAGATGGAGAGTTGCGGGGAAACAACAAAACTGCTTTTTGTAAGAGCCAAAAATGTGGGCAGAGTAATCCTGTCTGAAAGGGGAAGCTACATTTGGGTTTTATGGCAAGCTTTCCTGATCCGCCAATGGCTGGTGGTATTAGCAACTAGCATCATGATAAGATGACTGTTAGTTGACAAATGCCCTCGCGCTTTGAGTCAAGGAGTGTAGGAAAAAAGGAAATCGGTACCGCAAAAGCATGAGCCTGATGGAAAACATGAAACAACTTTTTTAGTTACGTGTCTTTTTCCAACTTTGTTTCTAAAAGAAAAGAAAAGAAACATAGTGGACCCAAAATTAGGAATATAAAAATTTACATAGTCTATTAATTCGAATAGTCATTAGAACATCTAGGAGCCATAGACACTATTTCTATTGGGTGTTACTTGTGAGAGCACACTGTCTAATCACTTTATACTCTCCATAAATTGCACAAACAAATTGGGTTATTGTTATATTCTAAACAATAGTGTCCTGTGAATAGTTTTCCTTTCCCTCATGATGAATACTATCGAAAGATGTAAACGAACCAGCGTCATCTATCATCAATTTTTCATCATTACTTATGAACTGAAGATATTTGTTACAATTCAGTATTAAATATTCAAACCTAGAAATGCAACGTCAGCACAAAGACCGTTTACCTTCTTTAATAAAACAGTTACAAGTAATTCTTGCAAAGCTGCCTCACTCTTTAAAAAAGTACTAGAAACACTGGACCCTTTCCATAAGAACTGCCCTGCAGAATGTTTGCATAAATTGAACTTATAGAGTTACAATGGCTCCCAGTAGCATAGCCAATCTGTGAATGAAACGCATGGAAAATACTTTTCGCCTAATAGTGCATTGTCGTATTTGTTTGCAATACAAGACATCATATTCCTACTCGATACACACTAACTGCAGCATAATAGAGTAGTACTACCCGTGTGTTCTATAGACTTGGTAAAATACTTTGTGCTAAACACATTGACAGACACTCTAGTGTTTTAATAATAGTATACCTTGGAAGACACTTTACTACCTAAACAGTGTCGAAATTTTTCATTGAGAGATTTACTTTCAGTATTGTACATGTTAAAGAAGCTCAAAGTAACAGCCCACATCGTTCAGCATATAGAAAATAGCCTACTTGTATCTTGCAGAGATTGTTCCAAGGACAATGGTGATGTTCACTGTCGCAATATCATGCAAACCAAATCAGATTGAAGAAACGTCTCATAGATGTGAAATAAATTTTACAAAACCTCTAAAAAAGTAACTTGAATCGCTTTAAGAACCGCATCGGAGTACAAAATCAAAAGAAGCACAAAGGAATTCTTTTAAACACAGTAAACGTTTCATGTAAAACTGGAGTCGCATTAATCCACGAAACGGGAGAAATTGAGCAACTCTGAAAGAACAAGTGACTACATGAGAAGAGTTCAGTCCTATCATTCTGCACACACTCATATGGATTAAAGAGGGGCGTGTCATCTTGAAGTAATGAGAAGGGGAAGAATCTGAACGGCATCACATGAGGGTGTGGCGGCGTATCCACTGCCTCATCTTCTCGTTTCCCGTGTTGGGTTCCTCTTCCTCTTGAGTGAGGGGCGGAAGCACGCCCACTACGTTACCATCGGCCGTCCAGCAGTATCTCAGTGAAGGAACCATGTTTTGGGGAGTGGAGTGGAAACTTTGTTTCTTCCCCTCTGAAGGGTGAGGATACATTTGACTTTTTACACGCATGCGTTAGGAATAAATAAACCACAGAAGCCGCCAGTCTCGTTATGTTTCATTGTTTTCTCTCTGGCTGGGGGGGGTCCGGAAATGGCCCTGTTGCCCCTCCCTTGAATCCACCAGTGCATGGAGAGGGTAAAGACATTTCCATGAACTATTCCAATGCGTGTGCAAAATGCGGGGCCTGCTTGCCAAACCTGGCACCTAGAGAAGACAATTTGCCCGAACTGTCACGCATGTAAAACGATACTTGAGCTTTTTGTTGATCTGCAGGAGTTGCGAAATCTATATTTAACCATCATGATGGTGAAAACATCTGAACGGTAAATCAGTTTCATAAAACCGACCCATTTAAATAGCAAATGTATTGACCAGTTAACCTTTCGCGAGTAATTTTACACTGAATTCTCTGTTTTCGCGTTAATGTTACAGTTTAAATTATCCACACTAAAGACACTGTTGTTATACCTCATGGCTTTTGCTTTGTTACATAAGAGACGCCTTGCACCAATGCACTACTTTGAATGGATAAGAAGGGCACAAAGAAACCAGTCCATACCAGAAAGGGCGGTCGCAGTGCAAAAGCTTGCCCGAAACACGAGGTATAGCAACAGTACCCTTAGTCTGGGTAATTCAAATGGTTATGTTCATGTACAATCATAACTTAGTGTATCAGGTTTCATTCGAATTTAACTCGCAAAAGGCTTATTCATGACAAACTCAGCTGTCCAACGTTATTAGTGTAGTAACTGACATATTGTAACTACACAATTTACACCACCGTTTCCGAAATATTACCCATTAAAATCATCCACTTGAATAGTGTGTGTTGCCAAATAAAATTCACAGTTGTGACCAAATACCCCGAAACCATGCTGAAACATGAACTTTTGACGTTTGACAAGTTTTCTCTCCACTGTTAGATCCATCTCAAAGGTTTTTCTGCAGAAAGTTTCTGACATTGCAGGTACTGGGCCAATATAGAATTTGCCTCATTTATGTGTATATGTTCATGTCATTTCCAGATAATACATCTTTGTAATTCCTCAGCCTAGTTTTGGAACATGTGATCACATTTAAAGGGTCTATGCAATGCATTTTTACCACAGTCCTTGCAAATATGCATCGCAGAGCTAACCTTATTGTCAATTCTGATTTGCCATTTTATACAAAATATTTGGTACTCTTTTGGTTCTTATGCTAATGCAAAGTAAATATTTATGAGCAAAACTATGATGACACTCAAGAGAGAAAACTTCAATGTTTCACTAATCTGTGCTCTCAAACACTGAAATGTTTGATATTTTGCAGATCTAAACATCCCTTCACTTGGTGATTCACTGTTGCTTAAATTCATTGCAACCGGCAACCCTTTCTCAGTGACGCATTGAGTGAGCACATTTGGATTCCCAATATGAACAGAAAAATCTACAGCACTGAACAGTGTCTTTCCTGATGATTGACATCAGAGCAACAACTCCTTCGACACGTATTGCGCTGAAAAGCATTGACATGTTTGACTCTTTAAAACAGCACATTTTTCAATAAACCGAATCCGCTAGAAGGACGTCAAATTGTTTTCATTCGCTGAAGACGAGTATGAGTTTCCAAAAAAGAGAGCATGTCTACCACTACCACCACCTGGTCTCTTTAAGTTAATGAAGCTGCGAGCGATTTACGTTCACCTGTCCTTGCTTTACATCAGTGTGTGTCGTCTGATCCATTGTCGCATCTTCCCCAGTTGCGTCGTTGGCTCTTCCTCGTCCTCCTCGATAGGCGGGGGTACGCCCACCACGTTGCTGTCAGCCGTCCTGTAGTATCTCAGGACAGGGATCATTATCAATGTAGACTCCAGAATCACAAGGAACGCCTGCCACTCTGAATGAAGGGGAAAATAAGAAATAAACGAATCAAGAAATAAAAATGGTCGGAACAATTTCATCCATGGATACTGCTGAAAAGGAAACGAATCATGTTCTGTAGATTGTTTTTACGCAATGTTGCAGCGCCTACATTCCAAAAGTTGGCCAATCACAATGCGCGAAATCTGTCAACCCTTTCCAAACGAGCATCGGGTTGGCAGATTTCAACTCTTGGAGGCACACAATTGTGAAACGCCCGTATTTCTCTGCCATAAAGATTAAGTTGTCTGATCGTGTGGGTTTCCTCCCTAAAACAAACTATTTTTGTTCTTTCTTTTTTTCTATTATTCATTAAAATGAAGGCATGACACACAAACAGACCTTTCCTCATTGATACACTAAACTAGGGTCAAAGTATACGTATGGTTCTTTTATTTACACATTTTTCAGTATTAAAACAGGGTTCAGCATCTCCTTTGAAACCAAATTGACAAGATGAAATACACAAAGGCCTATCGATGCAATGTTCGACCCAAACCTTTGAAAATGCACCTTCGAGATTTAAGAAATCTTATATTCCTTTTGCACGCATTCTAAAGGTAAATGTGGTGTCACTATTGCTTTGATGAGCACACACACAAACTGCTGGAATTTGTTTAATATTGTGCTATTCTTTTCTTTGTTAAGCACATGCTAATGAGCTAACAAGCAACCCTCTTTCAGAAGTGTAATGAGTGAGCAACAGACAAACCTAAACAGAACATAATGTGTCAAATTTGATTAAATTAACATGACGGCAACAGCGCCCTGTGCTCTCCAGAAAAGCTCATACAATCTTTGATGCTTTACAAACATTTTTCAATACAATTAACCGTCAAAGAACACGAAGTGCTTTCATACATCGAGCGCGAGGTGAGAGTTTAAAAGCTGCAACTTTCAAAAAGTGCTCCTGAGAAAACTTCATCGCCTGCACCCTTATTCGAACTTACGCGAGGCCAGCAAAGGTGAAGGGAAAGGGATGAAGCAACCTAGGGGTCTAAAGACTGTCCCCAGGGAGATGAGAGTTGGCTGAAGCCCGTTCATCAACAGGCCGGCAGTCATGAGCTGGTTCTTAGCAGGCAGGTCATATTTCTCCAGATCCTTGCTACTCGATGCCTTGGTGAGCATGTTCATTCCTGTCACTGCCGTCATTGTGGACACGACAGTCAAGGCTTGCAGGATCAAATCCGGCACGCCGAGCAGGTTCTGTTGCCAAGGGGAAAAAGAAGACTCGGGTGATCCTTTAACAACCTCGACCGGCCATGGAGTACTTAGGAGATAGCTGCTTAGAGTTTTTGATTTAGGTCTACTCGCTGCTAGCATGATGTTTGAATTCAGTGCGGTCGCAACGACCATACACCATCTCTTGGGATTAATTTTTGTTTTCAAATGTTGGTCAATCGTAGAAGACGGTAGGAAGAGTACTTACCACATTCGCAAAACCAGCGATTGCTCTGAAAAACGTCATTATCGGTTTAAGGATGGAAGTTTGGAGCACCAGAATCTTGATCGTCGTGAAACTTTTCCTAAAAGATTTTGAAGACAGCGAGATAAAAATAGCTGAAGAGTCGATTTTACAGAAGGTTCAAAAGAAAGCATGATGTCAGTCTCGTCGATAGATCGAAAAAAAATGGACTCGAGGAAACCATATGAAAATTCTTTGGCACATAGACAGATCCGGTGACAAGAATCAGGAGCCATTAGAGAGATTTAGTTGCACGTTCTACGTGAACGCAAACGGGAAAAAGTGTGGACTGTTACTGACGTCATTGCTTTCTGCGTATTGTCTCTCACGTACGGGTGGTTTGCGCGGACGTCCAATACGTGAAACATGGGAAGTTCACGTTGGATGAAAACGTGGAAAACTGCAACTTTTTTGGAAGGTTTAAAATTATGCTTTGAACATTCGCTAATGTGAAATAGACATTTTTGCAAAGTGCAAAGGTTATGCAACTGGGATTTTTTCATGCTTGGTTTATGATTGCACTTCTTTGGGAGATTTACCGGATGCGACTGATGATTTTTCCTTTTATTCGCGTGGTCATTGGAAGATGTACATTTTATGTGGGACGCGCATCTCAAAATAGGCGTTTGACGCCCGTGCATCCGTGCGCGATAAGAAAAATAGTCGCGTTTGCGTTCACGTTTGTTTAATACGTGCATCATATCTAAATCTCCTCACTGAGGTGTTCCCACGCCCTTGAACAAAAGAGATATAGATGCATTGAATGCTTGCTCATTAGCCAATGGGAGCGCACTGATAACCAAAATCTCGCGCTCCAAAGCTAAGAAATGTGCGCCTGATGAGTGACGGGGACACCACAGGAATAATGGCGTCAGCGAATCGGTCTATTACAATCACGTTGATATGGCATCATAATTATGTTTTAAGGGAGCCAAATTTCGGTTGCGGGGCAGGGCAAACATTTCAGTGTTTTAGTGTGGCCTCAAGACCTTTCTAAGGGGAGCTTTTGTAAAAAAAAAGGAAAGACGTTTCTCATGTACTCAAAATCCAGAAGTTCTTTTGGTAAGGCAGAGGTCGCAGGGCAACGTTGCTACCCAACGGCTTTGCCAATCGGTGCATTAATTGGTGTGGCAAACTGACAAATCTTGTCAGGAACAGACCTTGTCAGACGGACCGGTTTGAGGCAAAATAAGCAGCAGAGTATCGGCACATTGATGTTGAACATGACTTTCTCGGCAGCCAGCCGCGCCATCATTTTCCGATGCCCCCCGTAGTAATCCACTTGGAGCACGATGAACTTGAACATGACGAAGGAGTAGTATCTTAGGAGAGAGCAAAAACAATTGGCAGTGATAGAATGTGTTTCGCAAACCTTAACTTTCTAGATTTACAGACATGTTGTTTGTTGTCACGATTGTTTTTTACAAGCCATGCACGCCAAACGATATGCACAAAGAATGTGCTTACACTTCCGAAGAAAAAAGTTTATTGGTTCCTAAACGTTTACTCATAAACTCTGGTTTCCGTTTCAGGACAGCCCCCTATAAGTGGTGACCAAGAGCATCTGTTGAGGGGATTTTAATATATACCGGATAGTTTAATCTCGTTCGTTGGGCAAATTCCCTTGTTACTAATTCTTCTCCCCATGTGGGGGTAAAATGGGTATACTTGTGCAAGACAGAGACTGGTGCTGCCTTTGATTATAGTCGTTAATGCCTTCATAGGAAGCATCGAGCTGCATGATGCTCGTACTCAGCAAGTTATCCCGGGCCAAAGGTACATCCTGTTGGCCTAAACTTAAATTTTAAAAACTGTGACGTAGCTTTTCTGAACATCTCAAAATCAACTTGTATAAAGTCACTATCATGGTCTTTAACCGTTTATAGTAACATTATTCAACAAAATTGTATTACTCACAAGTCTTGCAGTGCCAGACAAAATCCAGCAGAACTCGGAATCAGGACTGCTGGTAGACAGAGCAGTACAAAAGCCTGTAGGAGATTAAATGAGGGGAAACAGCAAAAATGACACTTGCTGTGTTCACTTCAAGATTTAAAATAGGGATGAGGTGGGGCACCTTGCTAGATCGGCCTTCTGCGAGGGGTGGAGGAGCATTATCCAGTACTGTGAAACGGAAGTACCACAAAGCAATTGTGAAATATATCGACTTTATTCAATGCAATTACAAACAATCAGAACAAAATGGTTGTGATTGGAGGTCTCTAAGGTATTCTGTGTTTATGCTTTGGGTATTTTTGTTTACTTTTGTTTCTAAAACATCGTAGAATTTCAACGGCAGGCAATTGACATTAAGAATAACTTGGGCATTTTATGTTCATTTTTCATTTGTTCTATCCTCGAGAGTAGTGTAAGTGGGGCTGTGATCTCGAACACTCATACCCAACTATCTACTTCAGTGGCGAAAAACTGAATTCAGTACTGTGATAAATAGTTCTCACAAAATCTGGTTATTTTTTTACGGCAAGATGTGCCTATTTAGTGGAATTTTTCCTACGCTGTGTTGCTAGCACTGCTGTCAATGACGGGGAGATAAAAATCCATTATCTCCAAACGCGCATTGGGTCGACAGATTTCGCGCATTGTGATTGGTCAACGCGTTGCAAGCTCTTGGAGGTGCGCTATTGTGAAACGCCGGTATTGCGCTGTAGATAAGTAACTGTTTATTAAATGTTAGGGGGAAATTATCACTTGATTTAATTTTCAGCAAATATGACATCTTGGTTTTTGTGGGTGTGTATGCCATGATGGATAGGCCAATGAGCACAGATACCCAGCATAGCAACATTATTTATGGGGCAAAGTAATATTACTGTTTAAAAGACTTCTGTGTGCCTACGTGCAGTTTAAGTTATGTCTAATTTGAGTATACAGCAGATTTCATTGTAGGTATGTCCGCCCTCAAAATAATGTTGAATCAGTTCGTCTCTTATAAAAGATATTAAGAATTCAAATATTGTAAGTAATTTATTATATACATTTAGTTCAAAGTTACTCTTGTATTTACGGGGTATGGTCTATTGGGGTATTGCGGAAGGATATACAGGCATGGCAGATCGATCAAACATGTGAAAAGATCAAGGGTCAAAGGTGAAAAATAGCACTGCTCAAGCGTGACCCCCCCCCCAAAAGTGACGGGTGACGCAGAACGGGCGACGCACGACGGGCGACGGCAGATATGGAATTCCATAGAATTGAAGTCATAGCGCAGCGATCTTTGGGTATTCAATAATGGTCACCAAGTTCAGTCCATTCACTAAGTGCATTCATGCACGGCGCTAAAAGCCGGTGACTTAGAAAATGCCATTTTATGGAATAGCCCAAGATGGCTGCGCAGTCGCTTCAATTCGCAGAGCAGAGATGCCTATTCAAAGTATAGAGTGAACCCAACACGCCGTGTCAACACCGCCCTCACATCCTGCCTCTTTGAGAAAGTGCTTCTGTCAAATTTAAATCGTCGCAACAGTAGATGGCCATCTGTAGGCCGTTTGGAAATTTTATCGCTGAGATCGCATCTCTTTGGGAAGTGAGGTTGAGACCTAGTCTACGCCACGTGTACCTTCTCCAGCAGCTTTAAGCTGTCACTTTTCTTACTTTTGTCAGCTGTATGGGCCGTACTGGCCTCCACTGTTCGGCGACCTAAACTGGAAGGCGCATGCATGCCACAACTAGACAATTAACCTCTTCTGACTGGTTCAAAGTCCGTCAAATGACCACTTTGAAATGGAAGCTTAACAGGACTGAGGCTTGCGCATTAATTTGCACATGACGAAATTGAAGAGGCAGATGTTAGTTTTTAACCCCTCAATTAATTTCATTTATAACCCAGGAGGCGTTGAGTCAGAATACTTCATATAATTGGGTTTTCTGAAATGCTTGTTAACATTTTAAGACTTGTTTATAAGGTGTTCATGAATGGCGGCGATATTCAATCTCACCTTCGTTTCAGCCAGTGACCCACGCCAGACTCCACAACAGCTTTAAAAAGGCACTAGTTCAGAAGTACCCACCGGATTTTCCTCCTTCAGTCAAACCCAACCCTCTACCGAAGCTTGAGGTTTTATTTTTTATAATAATTTTTTTTATAAAAAAGCTTGCAATTTTGACTTTTAACCAGTTAAGGCCCGAAGTATTGCCAAAGTTACGGACTGATCTCTCAGTATGGCGTGAAAATTATATCGATTCACCTGGTGCGCCAATGAGCTTTCTAAAATTGTTTTGTCTGTGTAACCTGAAACAACCTGTCCCTGTAACTGCCACTGGTCTTCTCCACACGACACGCTGTGATGGTATCAAAAAACATGTCCAGACTCACCGGAAAAGCAGACATCATGATAACGGTGTTGAGGCGATGATTGGCCACGGACGAACGTGGGACCCGCGTTGCCGTAAAGAACGCAGCTTCTAAGAATATTACGATGACTGTGAAACTCGCCACGGCCGCATAGGAAAATAGCAAAGTGAAGAGCGGATATTTAGCCAGCTCTGTTGATAAAAGAACAGAATGATCTCACTTCTAACATTATCTGAGTATTTTTGCACTCATTCATGTGGCGTAAACTTTAACAGCTGAACCTTCACCTGAAAGATTTTCAATGCCTTTTATAGCATTAATATGAAGAAACTTTCAAAATGTAACATGGTAAAAGATGCGAATAAAACAGCACAAATCACACTGTACATGAATATAACAATGTCAAATGCCTACAAAGATTTTACCGTGTCTGTTCATGGTGCAGTGGGATGACAGTCCCACTACTGTCCGCAAGACTGACAGGAAAAGGAAGAAAATACAATTTGCTGCAACTGGTTCCGATTACATGAACTAACATAAACCAGTGTAAAGCAACCAAACTGAAATATGATAAAAACGTGACTACAGACTTTGATTCATTCAATGTCATTTGTAAATATACATGCAGTGTTACAGGTTATAATCGAATGAAACATTCCTGACCCCCAAATCTTTCCGCCCATGACACAGCAGGGCGAACTTATTATATGCAATAACCTGTAACCTGAAAGTGGGCAAAACTAATCGCAATAACAAAGTCTGAGTTCATAATGCGCTAAAATTCTCACATGGAAGACTCACGATGCATATAATTTCGAATCAAATGTTAAATTTCGAATTTTGAGGTCTTGAAAACTGTCGTTAACCAAATTGATTTCTTTCCTCGGCCCATGTTCGAACTGTTTAGGCCCAAGGCATTGATTTCTCAGACAAGACACTGGCCCAAGCTAAGATGGGCACTTTAAGAGGCATGACAGGTTTAGCATCTATCCGCAGAATTTGGCTTGTCTGCCGATCACCGAGTCCAATCCAGATGAATGTAAACGAAAGGCTTACCTGATGTTAATGACCCATCGGCCCAGTTGGTCTCGTTTTCACCAGGGCAGAACCTCTGTGGAATACCGAGTAAAGCTCCCATCTTCTTGAGACACGGATCACTCGAAAGGACCTAAACAATTTACAGTATCCTGAAAATGCGGTGCAGTAATATGCTGTCCACTTTTCACATTATAGTAGGCACGTTGACTTCACGTTCAGCACAACCAGATTAGAAAGATGCCGCAGATTTCAATACTGTATGAGATTAAAAAAGCTACGAATCACGGTTCCCAGCCGAGATAAGAAGGGCGATGCGCGTTCAAGTCCTACCATTTAGGCCAAAACAGATAGAATGCGTCGCGCGTACTGCTTATCGCGCTGGGTCGAGGGGCTGATCTTGTACTAGTTGCTATCAAAACAGGCAGAAATACTTCCCGTTATCAATTAACCGATGATCAACCTTTGACAACCTTTGTAACATTGCAGGCGAGATTGTGTTTGCATTGAGGCAAATTGCTTTAAGGCTCAAAGACTAATTGTGTCTTCTGGCTTTGGAAGCCACACGTATGATCAGTTCCCATTGACTGTGCGTGCATTCAGTTGTTAATTCGCGCATGTGCAATAGCAGCATTATTGTCGTCAGCCTGAAAACTGATATTCTAGCAGACGACGCATACCGGTGCGGGATATGTCCAGCCATTTCCCTTGAAGACCTCGTGTGTGAATAAATTACCAAGAATCTATCAAACGGTGATATATAATAGCTTCTGATAAGAAAGATCTCCGGAAACTAATCAAAGAAGTGGAAAACGTCAATTTTACGACAATGGATAATTATGAAAATAGATTAAAAAATAGTTTTGACCCGAAAATGATATTGCAGACCAGGATTCAGATTCTGAGTCAATCCTACCCATCCGTTTTAGAGAGTATGTTTGCTTCCGCTTGTGAAGCAGTTTACAAGCCCAAATGAAGCACAAACTGTGTATAAGTTAATCAAGGCGTGCTTTGAAGAGTTTTGAATTAATGCAGTCGGCATCGGTTTGCCAATGAACAGAACCTTGATTGCTGATACGAAAATTAAAGCAACGTGTACAGGTTGTATTAATGCGCCGTTCCCCTGTTGCGCAATAAGAATGTAGCTAGCTGTGCAGCCACGTGATAGTCTTCACACATGCACCCCCTGTAGTTAATTTTGGCATTCTTTGAATGAAAAAAATCATTCCCACAATTGGTTCCAACACTGTAGCGCCGAAATGAGTACGGTACAGTAACGTAGCCTATAGTAAAAACAGAAGTGTCATCATGTTTCTCTAACAACCCTAACCACACTGAGTCCCAAAACTAAATTTCTATTAATATCCACCTTGAGCAGAAGCACCCATCATCGGTTGAAAAGTGATGTTGGTGCTGAGTGTTCATTATCTTGGTATCCATGCGACCGTAACGTGTGTATTTAGTCGTCTGTAAATCAGCGAAGTGCAGTTCCCACCATAGGAGCCTCCGTTGTTAGGAAAGTTGTACCCTCTCTTGGTCCCCCTTGGACCATGATGTAGGCCTAGCCAGAATTGGCAGCATCTTTAATTAAGTTGTCTCTGAACCTTGTATCTAAACTTCCGCTCTAGTGTCGAATACGTGGACGTATAATGTAAATTATAGCTCCGGAAGACCTATTTTACATGGCGGGTGCAAATTGGCATCTTTTAATGTCTAATGTACGTCAAGTAAACAGCCTGTACTGGCTCAGGGTTTTGTTCCTGCTTGGTTCCATGCGCTGATTCAGGAAAAATTCCACATACCGAAACCTTGGCTCGGTACCACAGACCTCCACCGACATTTTTTCACCCACATACCTAATCAGTCCCAGCACGAGAGCACTGCTTTTACGGAGGACTCGCCCAAAATAACGGAGGAAGCATAGCTTTTACCATTAAGGTAAAAAAATAGAAACGCCACTTAAAAATTCCCCAATTATCTGTCTCACTTATTTTCTTACAATACAGGTCAAAACTTCTTAATGCTAATCTGGCTACCAGTACTTGCCCTGTACCAGCACGACCAAAGTGCGAGGTAAAACTGGACGGTCAAAATCCTTACAGCCTGCGGTGCTGAATTGTTACTGTGTGGTGTCAAAATGAATGTGCGTGGATTGAATTAACACTGACATGTGTGATACTAAGTAACACAGCCTATTACTGAAAACCTTGTGGAATCGAGAAAACCAGGAATATGAACATTAATACTGATCTTGAATTTAAAGGGAAACACTGAACTTACGATTTCCAAGGATCCCAAAAGAACCCCTGTCTAAAATAAGGAAAGGCGACCTTTTTGTGTTTCCTTTCCCTATAAAATCTGTAAGAAGTCTCAAAATGTAGCCTTACCATGTAAAAATTACATAAGAAATTTGGTTCTGGATCCACCCTTGGCTGGGAATTGTGAGGATCTTCAGGTCGGCCACAACCTATTCATTCTGACGGGTGTAGGGTTGTATGAACTTCAGTAACAATCCTCGAAAGACATCGTGCCCAGCACTTTCTAGTGGACATCAAATATTTGTGAACATTTTGGGGGATGGGATATTTGGGATATTGTAAGACTAAAAACCTTTTTACCTTACGATAATCTAAACAATCATTTGAAAAAGGTTGACCTTTATGAAATTTTATGGTTGATTTTTTTTTGGTTTTTTCAGAGCCCAATGGATCGAGAGTTGTAATCTTTCCAAGAGACTTTTCTAGAGACTTACGATCTTATCAACGTACAAGGAATTCAAATTCCGTATAGGTATGTCATGGAACCCAAGATAAATGATGTCTTTTCAAACCGATGACATTTGGAGTAGCACTTACGCCAAACTAGTCAATATTTGCACTACGTGGGGGGTCGTTAAACAGTCAAGTTGTTTCAGATTCCTCTAAACTCTCAAAGCTAAAATGTAACTGAGTCCATTACACCCAATGAATAGATAATTTTGTTCCACGCAAGATAAACTGCATGGAACATTAATGTGGAGAGCATGAGCCATAACAGTTTAAACGCCCAAATCACACTGGACAACACGAGGTGAACATGGCACACCACGCTCACATGTCTTAACCGCCATTTATAAGATGCTATCTTTATTAATTTTTCTGATGCGAAAACTCCATAACACAAAACGGTAAAGTTATTATCACGATATTTCATCGTTAGAATAATTACCATTTGCCTTTAAAATATATTGCACGAAAACTCACCAAAAATGAAGTGACTAAAACAGTACACCTGAACTGAATCTGCTTGCCCTGACGAAGGTACTCAGTTACCGAAAGCTCGGCAATCACACATTTCAGAGCACTGATTTGATATTATATTCTTGTCGACACCTGGGAAGATATCATTTGGACACATGACCAACAATCGATTGCACTACAGTGTAAGAAGAATGCAATGAATCTATCCCATCCAAATTCGGAGGAAACTTATCTGAGTTTGGGCTCTGGTGAGGATCTGGTGTAACTTCAAGATGAAGTGAGGTTCCCTAATGCTTCCTTCCATTAAAAGTACCTCACCAGAGTATCGTGGAAGTTACTGTTAGTTGCTTTGTCAGTCGGTGTACTCTTAGACTCGTACACAGTTCGGCTTGACAGCAACAGAACTGACAATAAAACTACATGCACATGTGAAGATAAAGGAACACAAGAACCGCCTATGGCACAAATGCATGCTCTTTATAGTTCGTCATAATCTGTAAATATAACTTATAAAGTACAAGTGTCAGTAATTTAGATGAAACGGTATAACCAGGTATTAAAGAAATGAAAAATCCTGGTATTCAATGACAACGTGTCCGTGCGCGCAAGCAATGTAGTACCCAGTCAGGTATTTAAAAAAAAATACTACAAAAGTAACCGATTGATTGATTATCGACAACAAAAATTAGGTCCCGATGTAGATTAAATATTTAGTTAAATTAAAGAATTTTGGGAGAGGAGAAAAAATTACGAAAATGTAACACACTATAAACACAAATCTGTAAACGTTCAACACTCAATATCACAGCAAACCCAGGGAAAAAGCTCCGAGTCTCACCAAAGTATTGAGATACATAAATTCGTTTCTGCAGATCATCCTTGCAAGCTCTGATCAAATGTGTTTCAGAATCAGTTGCCCTTTCAAACTTTTCTTATAAAGTCTATCCACAACCTGCGAATAATGGTTTAAGTATGTACATAAACGCACTGTAATACAAAATGAATAGACGGCCAGAGTGATTTGTATACTAATACAAGTTTCCAGGAATCACTGATGTTCAGTTTTTGGTCAGTGCTGGTCAGTTAGTGAGGCAAAGGTATACATGGGTTTAAATCGCAATCTGGTTTAACAGTGTGACGTCATTTTATTTTAAACCTCGCCCACTGTATAACTAGTTATATGGAACCAAGTTAACGCGCAACTTGAGTGTTCGTCCAATGGGAGCTTGTAATTAGTGTTGCGTGCGCGCGCGCACGTGCACGACGAAGTCACGAACCAAACACTCAAAATATTACATGGAAGATTGGTACACATAGGCCTAAGCAAGCTATGTAAAAGCGAGGTTTAACTAACACTTCAAACCTGGTTCAAGTGTAGTAAATTCACACAAACCGAAAATTATGCCGATAACCTTCATTCTTAACTTGACAATGGTTGAACAAAGAAATAAACTGAAGCAGAATTATTCAAGCCTATGACGTCTGAACTGTGTTCCGGTTGCAGACACAATAATATGACAGTTCCTATTTTTACAATCAAAACTGATGCAAAGCTTTTCTCAAACGACTGTTTTCAAATTTGTGCACAGGATTTTGTCCCTCCTCCCAGTTCGATGCAAGTCTTTGTTCTTAACTTTGACCTATCCTCTGATTTTCCTGAGATCATTAATTATTAAATATATATCCAGTTCAGAATTACTCCACGTCCTCTCCACTGAAAGCCATTCCACCACCACCAAGTTTTCCTCTTAGGGTGGTAACCGGGAAGAATCCAAGCGATTGTTTATATTGTTGCGTAGTACTTGAATAGTAGCCGGGACAAACTTGTTCAGGACTACTTCAATTCTACAGTTTCTTTAAGTAAACAACTCTGTTTCAAAGCAACACTATATATATGCACAAAGGGAAGACAGTGATGGAAGTGCTTTAGTTTAAATATTTAGAGTGGGCGGTCACTTCTATTTGGCAACTTGTTCCGGTGCCGGTCTCGTGTAAAATTTTTAAACAGCCCCTGGCACAAATACAGTCGAACCTCCTAAAAAAGAGGTTGTTTTGTTTTGCTTAGAATAAGACATTAATGTTTCCCCTCTCAAAAGAGCTGGGTCTGCACAAAGCCACAAACATTAAGGCTGGGTTACGGCACAACTGCACTGTCAAAAGACCAAGAAAGTGCAACAGGTTATAAGTTCGGTTTCCACGCGCGTGATGAGTCTTAACTGGCTTTAAACTTGGCTTGACCAAGCTGCAAGAGCTGAACACATGGCCAAAGCTCTGTAGGACATTCTTGACTTAATCTCTGGTGCTTGTGAATGGCTGAAAAACGTCATCCTGCCTCTCCATGTTACATATGCATACAGTGCTATTTAAAACTGTTGACTCGAGTGAGCACTTGAATGGAGTAGAACAGTTGACATATTAAGGTAAAAACTGTTGTGCAGCCACATGGGCCCTTTCTGAAAACTCGGTTCTGTTGCTGATGTGGATTTATACACTGGTCCCAAAACCACATTAGCCCTTCATCAAAACTCGGTTTTGCTGTTGACAGTGATTTTATACACTGGTCCCCAAAACCATCGGATGATGAATTTTCATTCACATCACTATACTTTCACAAATGGCCTGTGGTTTGCTAACTGCGATAATATGAACACGTCAAAAGTCTGACCCGACCAACTATCTCTGACCACGAACAACTCCAAATCCAACAGAGACTGAATGGGCTTCATTCAGGCCAGCTTGCCTGCAGTGGTGAAGGGCTGGACGGGGCAGGTTGACTCCAGCTGCAGCCCTGTCAGTAGGCAGTCGCTGGCCGATTCAAACTCCCCCTGCGCTTCCAGGACCTTGCCCAGGTTAATCCTGTCCGGGAAGTCACAAGGTGACAAAAGGGGTGGAACAAGTCAAAATGAGTCTGCATTTATACTCTCCCTGCCACAGCCAAAATTAAAATAGCTGTTTGGTGTCTGGTTTTCTTTCAGGGAGGGGGGGGGGAAAGTGCCTTTTCTTTTTTCTCTTTCTTCTGCTCTTGAATGGAAAATATATGCCCCATTCATAGGTTCAGTTGTTACCAGCATTACGGGCACCCCTCTTTGTACACGCCAGATCTGCCACTGGTGTGCCATGAAATAACCAGCAGAAACTGATGCGTTTGAGCTCTACCATGGCAAGTGCATGCAGTTTTCCTCGTGAGCTCTTGGAAAATACCAAGTGAGTATCAGTGCTTGTTAAAGGGTTACAGAAATAGAAAACATTTAGTTCAGGTGAACTACATGTATTTCAAAAAAACAAAAAAATACGTAACCATTTCAAAAACATCACAAACTTAATGTTCACCCCATTTATTGTTATTTGCTATTCACGCTCCCAGGCTGACTGGATGACGTCATCGCCACAACGATGCATGTACAGCGTACATGCACACAGCGCACAGTACATGCAGGATCGAATGCAATAGACAGCCCACAGGCACACACTGTCTCACATCAAGGTAGAAATTAAAAGACACACTCCTACCATCATCCAATCTGTCTGGGAGCGCAAATGGCCAAAAGGGGGACTTTTTGTGGGCAGGGAAACGTAGGATCTTTTTATTAATTTAGCGGTCACAGTTAATGGGGTGAACATTAAATTTTTGATTTTGAAATGGTTATGTATTTATTGTTATTTTGAAATACTTTACGCGAACTAAATGTTTCTATTTCTGTAACCCTTAAAATAGGTTAAAACCAAGCATTACAAAACCTCCATCATTTACAACTGCTGTCCAACTTTTTCCCCAATGTGCTATACAGTGCTGTAGTTAAGTCCATCACAAGTCCCTTCAAGTTTAAGACAAGTCACACAGTCTTAGGCTAAGAACCGTGACAAAAGTACTTTTTTGTCACTGTTTATCCTCTTACTTATGATGATTGGACTTGTGGAAGGACTTGTGATGGGCTTTATGACAACATTGGCTTGGTCAAAAGCAAAAACCCTGCAAGTGCTCACCAGGCCATGTGTGCCGTGGGGTCAATATTCACGGCATCCCTTAGCACCTTCTCGGCCATCTCGTACTGTTCCAGGGACAGCAGCACCGCCCCCAGGCTCTGCATGCTCTTGATGTGGGAGGGGTTGATGGCCAGTGCACTGTCGTAGCAGGTCTTGGCCTCAGCAAAGTCTTGGTTGTACTCATGGATGCAGCCGCGCTATGAAAGTCAAAGTATGTAAGAAAGGAGATAAGATGGATGCGGGCACATGCCTCAGCTGTGGAGGGAGCTCTGTGGCCAACTCAAATGAGGCATTTTGCTTTTCGATTCAATGGGTACAAAATCCTGGCATACATTTGTACATTACTTATGGATATTCATGGCTTAATAAGTGCTTCTGAATGACAAAGATGCCCTCCTGACTTTCTTCCTGACAAGTATTCTCAGCAGCTGTTTCTTTCATCTCTAAAACAAGCTACTTTCAGTCTCTGTAAGGAGCACACCAAAAATGTACATGTACAAGAAAAAAAACCACTTAATACCTAACAAGGAAACTTCCTATCGGCCAAGTTGAACATACAATCCTTGAAATACCACTTACATATCATGGGAAGAACTCTGTTACAATATACTAGTCGATGCTGATCCACACCAGCCTGAAGTCAAAAACTGACAAAGTTTTACTTACGACAAAAAGGATGTGATGAGAAAGGGGGAAGAGCAAGGAGGCTTCCTGTACACAGGCCCTGGCTTCATTAGGCTTCTCCAGGCTCAGGTACAACTCAGCTGGAAGAAAACAGGTTAGCATCGATAGCAGGCTGAGAATTTAAAACAGGCCAACTACCTACTATTGCATGTGACAATGTGCTTTATAGTGTTTTCTAATTGACACTGCTTCTAGGATTAGCAACTTTAACTGTGGTAGCATACATGTATTACTATCTCTGAAACCTCCCAACCATTTATGGGAAAGAGAACCTTTTCAAACTTTATGTCCGGGCCCTGGAAATGTTGACTCGTTGATCTCAGAGCTACATGTACTCTGTGCAGGTGAGATTAAACTATTTCCTAAGAAATCTGAGCTGCATTTTTATGCTGGCTTTTCCCATGGACTGATGTGAATTCAATTTTCAGTTTCACCTACATCAGGGCCTTAGAAAAACTGCTTCCATAAAAGTGCACATTATAAATCCCGTGTTACTCTAACTGAAATTTCAAAAAAATCTGAGTGAACCCACCAATGGCCAGCCAGATGTGAGCCTGCATCATCCAGATCTGTTGAGACCGTCCCTGCTTAGGGATGGAGCTACCTTCAGAGGACGCCACCTCAGAGAGGGCATGCTCGACGCGGGATGCGGCAATGGAATTGTGGATAGAGCCTAAAACAGAGTGATGAACACAAAAAGGGATAACTGTAATGGGAGACTTTCAGACGATGGTGGCAACAGACATGTTGGTCTTTCTTCACAGTATTGTGCGTGATCAGAACTATTCACACATGCTCAGAACTGGGTAAAAGGACCAGTATGCTTGCCACAATCAAGCGTCTCAAAGTCTCCCATTGAAAATGGACCAATTATCAGCCATGATCAGTCACACACTGATTTCAGACCTTGCTGCAACTTTCATCTGACTTATGAATATATTTCTTTTTTTCCCCACATATTGGTCTTTTTGAATTGCATGGTCTTTTATATTTAGTCAAATACTCTATGCTAAAACTCTTCACTTTGAAACATCCACGTGGCAAAGTGGTCAGACATCAGTGCTTATACGTACACAGTTACAGGTTTAAACAATTTCTTTTAAACACCAGTGAGCCTTTGAGCATATCCATGCAAGCTATCATCAAAACATTACAATGCACGTACATTCAGTTCAACAATCTGTGTTCTGTTACTTGATTTAATTGAAAACATCACAAACTTCAAACAAAAGAGGACAGATTGCAGAGAATTCAATAATTTGGACAATATCATGATGGTTGAAGAAATATCCGAACTGACCAAAGCAAGAGAGCTTCCAAGGAGAAGTTTGTGAAAAGTGTTCAATGAAAATACAGTGCAAAGTAGTATGTTTCTAAAGCAGAGGTAACACAGCTCTCATTAAGAAGGCAAATAAATTTCTTAAACCTTGTCCCTTTTGACACAATACCCAGGAGAAAAAACCATTGCTTCATGCATGCATTCCTTAAACCTGAAGTACACTGGTTAATTCTATTAAGATTGATACATGGGTTTTAAAGTGCTAAATATAGGCAAATCTGGTGACCATGGTAACGCTATCACTGGCCATTTGCAGCCACTTCTGATAATGGCCGAAGGCATTGTGATATAACTGTTGTTTGGATCTACTGTTCCCTAACAGTTATTACTATTATCTATTTCTGGTAATGGCACCAAGGACTCCTCAAAAGTACCCTAGGCACCGTAGCTCGCAAGCCTGAAGAAACCTTTTGTGTAGAGACTATGAGAAGCAGACAGTTTTAGAGGTGGGAGGAAAACCCCAGTGTAATAGTCTTCAGAGTCAAGTCAGGACTGACAACACAATCCCCATGTGGACCAAGCTGAGAATGGAAAATTGAACCTGGTCTGGGCGTGCTTTGGAGCAAGGGGTTGGTGCTGGTGTGGGGGGCAGAAGTTTGGCAAAAGGTCCAATCTGGGTTCTGGTCCATGCTATTCCCCGCAAAAATTAATGGGGGGATCACAATGCATTAAATGTAATTTTAATGGAAGTAACACATGTTGCTTCCACACATCCAGTTATGTTATAGACAAGCAAAGAACGGGCATCCAATACAATATTAGACATGTTTTCACCCCTTCGAAATTGGCATGCATACAAGATCAATAAGAATAAGGAGTAAAAGAATGTATAACATAACAGTTAACTTCCTGAAGAAAAATTGAGGAGATAAAATGGGTGTTCAGAGGCCTGATCATGAAATCTGTGAGCATGGATTCCTGTGTTGCAATTGAAAGAGGATGATTTTTGTTTTGAAGAGTTTCAGAGGTTCTGTCAAGTAACTGTCCAATCACCGGCAGTTGAGTTGACACAAAAAGAAACTATTAATGTGCGATATTAACATTACTCACTCTTCCATGTACCTCCCAATATGGCTGCATTGGAAACTGTTAATAAAAAAACCACAGGGCAGGTTTAACCGTATGCTTGCTACATGTATGCACAAAATAGCTACATGTACAGACTGTAGTTGCCTGCATCAGCTTTGGAAATTGGGGTGAAGGGATGTTGGGGTTGGTGGAAGGGGCAGATGGAGGGCTGATGGGCGACAGGGCTGGGGTGGGTAAAGGGTTTAAAACTTTCAGGAGATGTGTTAAGAAGTTCATAATGGGACGAGTGACCTGCCAAGATTTACGTTTCGTAGAGGATGATGCCTTCCCCACTTTAAGGGAACATTTCTTTTGTTTGACAAGTCGGGGCTGAGTTGTGAGCACATTTGTCATTATGATGTTTCTAGGGGTCAATTTCATAGAGCTGCTTAAGCACAGAAGTTTCTTAAGCATGAAAAAACCTTGCTTAAAAAACAAAGGTTACCAGCTCAAACTCTGTGTGATTGCCATGCTAACCAAAAGACAGGTAAATACCCTTCCAAAGCAACATACATCACAAGTAGTATTGGCTGGTAACCTGATTTGTCAAGCACGTTTTTTTCACGGTTAAACAAATTTTTCGCTTAAGCAGCACTATGAAATTGACCCCAGCTGGTCCCCATAACGTTTGTATTTCAACACATTGTGTACAGGTAGTCCCCACAACTTGGTAACTAGCACATGTGGGTAGGCATTCACTGCATTCAGGGACAAGTTCTTTTGTTAGGGAAATTTAAACCGCGTTGTGAGGGCATTTCTGAGTCCCCACAACATTTTCGGTCCCCACAAAACAGGTGAAATATTGAGTGTATGTCCCCACAACTACGGTGCAGGAGTCGTTGGTCTGGTAACGGACTTTCATAATGGAGGGTAACAAATTTTGCTTTGTTTTGCGTGCACACACAGAAGGAGACCATATGTTTAACTTGGACTTGACCTCTGTTCACGAGCTGTTGTTGAAGCAAATATTGTTTGGGGGGTTTGCATCTGGCAGCTGGTTACATGTTGTGACCTTGGGCAAGTCAATCAACTCCTTGCCTCTCTCCACCCTGGGAGTACAAATGGCAGAAGGCCTTACCCACGTTAATTGGACAGTTTCTTTGGTTAGGAAAATTGGAACTGCCTTGTCTGGGGACAAACATTTGCCCTTATAATGTTTCTGGTCCCCACAAGAAGTACATCACCTGGCAACTTGTATGTGAATAGCTGGGAGAGAGAATAGTCAAAGGCAGAGAAAACATGTACGCTTATACCAGCTACTGACTGACCTTGCCTGATAATGGGGGTAATTGTTGCTTGTAAAGCACATTTGAGATCATTGGTACAATGGAAAGTGCAATAAAAACACCACAGTGATTATAATTATTAGTATTACAATATGTAAAACGACCAGCTAGAGTTGGGTTTTATAATTATAAGAATTTTTCAAATTTGTCTTCCCTGTTGGAGGTATGTCAAGGCTAATGAAATATTGGTAGCTATAGATTGGGGGGCTACACTAACCCCCTTCCCCACTAAACAATAAGGGAAATGGGACGAGGTGCAGGACAGACAGACTGCAAAAACTATAAGACAATGAGTGTCTGGAGTCCTCGGCAACAGATACAAAATAGTCCCAAAGCTGGTTGCTGTGCTTGTTGATTATAAGGAGGTTGCACTGTGATTATCTGTGGTCTTGTTGATAACAAAACAAAACCAAAAGTTAGATTGGCAATCTGCAGGCCTTTGTGGGACCCTGGGCCCTCAAAAGACATAACTTTTGGGATCAAAGGAAAAAGATACTGCTTGTCTTTTTATCGGAACTGAGATCTGATCTTTGAACGACTGATTAGCAAATTGCATATTCACCACGAGTCACGCAAGTTTGTTTATTATTAAATAAAAAAGCTGTCATTACTGTTTGCTGGTGTGGGGTGGCGGTAATTTTTCTAGCGTAATGGCTATAGAGACTCACCCCATTAATCAATATCTGTCAAAATGCCATTCCTATTTCTTGAATATATTTTTACACTTGCACCGATGTCCTAGTTTTGAATAAATGGAGTATCAGATTGGGGAAGATTCTTGCCAAAAATGCCCAAGAGAGTAAGGGTTGTGAAACTCCACCAAACTAAATACAAAAACTAATAACATATGGGGAACATACTGGTAACAAACAAAAGGATTTGCATATACATGTTTGAAATGACATCTGTCAATACACACATCACCATCTTCAACCTTGTTTTGCCCAGATCCTTCAAAATCCATAAGCCTATTTAGAGTGGTAGGAGTAGAACCCAGCCATAATTTATCTTAAATTACAAAACAGGGCTTGGTGATCCTGAAAGTTCCAGTAGGCCTACAAAGAAGGGTGCCTGCAAGGTGGAGGATTTCTGGGGATTCAAGAAGGTTCTTAATGGATATACAGTGAAATCTCGTTAATAAAAGCACTGTTAACATTTCGTTAATCAGAGCAATGTTACATGTAATACAACATTCTGCTGTAACAAGGATATTTTTAGGTGGGTCATTCCATGAGGTTGGGGAACAATTTGTGATGGTGTCCACTGTTACGTGGGTTCCGTAAAAATGAACAGCTATTTCCCTGCACGTGGATTCCAAATTATACATCTTGCAAGGCTGAATACAGAGGAGTGTGTTACTTTTACAGAGTAAAAGACCTACTCTACAGGTCATGACAGGTGGTAAAAGTTGCTCATGTAACAAGGACACAGTCACAAATTGTGCCCCAACCTCATGGAATAATCCAGGTCCCAATCCTTTGTTCTTCATTGTTTTTATTCCTGATAATACAAGGTTCCTGTCTTAACAAGTTGATATGTTAAGTCTGAAGGACCTCTTATTAACCCTAACAGTCCTCAGTCCTCCGGTGAAGGATTGAGGACTGTTAGGGTTAATGAGGTTAAACATGGGGAGTATGAGTAATAGGGTTTCAAAACTGCACATATAATCTCTATATCACATTACAACAGCAGGGAAATATGTGGTTCAAGTCTTGAACTGGATGCCACTAGTTGCCCGAGGTGGGGGGGGGGGCTTGCTAATGGTGCTATCCTTCCACCTCTGGGACCCTGATTAGAATCCAACCATAAGTGAGATGTGGGAGAGGGACTTTTTTGTCCTCAAAAGAATCCCTGTCTTTTTTTGTCCAAAGTGTCTTACTGGGATTTCTCTGACTTCTGGAAGTGATCCATTATTCTCCACAGTTTCTTTGTCTTAGAATGTACATTTAAGTTCTGAAGAATACGTGATTCAGGTCTGCAACAAATCATCTCTTTTACCCCGTTTGTTCAACACACGTTTTCAGAAAGGGAAAATCAGACTTACTGGACAAGATTTATTTTCACCCAGAAAGTTTGACATGAACATCAGTTTTTCAACAAGTGCTTCATCACTATTACATCTTTTGTTTAAGAACTTAAATTTGAAAAAAGGCAATAACATTTTGTGTTGGCATTTTTAGTATTCAAACGATAGCAGACAGTTTTTTGGACCCAAGTTCCTGAGTCAATATGTGCCACCTATCCAAAGTCCAAAAGCCGCTGGGACAAGATTTGTATTTTCACCACCACAAAATGTGACCCATTCATGGGTGTAATCCACAAGAAAAATGAAAACAGGACGAAAGGATATTCAAAAAAAATTTTTGAAGTGCTGTGGTTACAACACCGGGGAAGCAAGGGGAAAATCCAAAATCTGTTTACTGAATGTTGATGGCAAAAAGCAATGGGTGTGCGCTAATCTGACGAACAATGTAAAAAAGCATGAGGTGTCCTTGATTCACACCCTGTCTGGCATGAAGTGCTTGACTTTTCACAGAAACCATCCACTGGTACTGCAGTTAATGTTTGCTTTTCTGTTCCTATGCATTTATATCACACATAGATCATTTCATAGCCTCTTTGATAAGCAATTGTTATCTTGTGTTGCTAAGAAATTTTCCTTGAACAATTTAGGTTAGAATTGCAACGTCAATAGAAAAAAACTAAGCCCAAGTCTTTGACATTCATCCGTACATAAAAGAGAAATACGTATTTCTTTTTTTTTTTAGAACGTTTGGTACCTGGGCTACAATGCACATATGCAAATAATGCAAACAGATTTACTTTGAAGAGTTCATGGATGAGTGTCATAAAATTATTAAAATCATTTATATGTACTTACAAAAGCAATAAATCGTCAATTTCTGTGGTTTCTATTGGATCAATAATGGCACTTGGACATGTATTACTGTGCCATACATTCTTGAGGCTACACCAAAGAAATGACAGCATATAGTATTCTGCTGCGCAATATCTATTGGCCAACTGCAGCATCACATGTCATGCCACTTTATTTACTCAAAAGTCCTCCTTTCCTTATTTGGCAAATGCCTACACCTGAACAAATATTTTAAGTGTGTTAATTTTCTGTCGACTGGATGAAATGTTATGAAGTCTTTCAAACTCTGCGTTACTGCAATGTCAGTATGGTGTACAACTTCAGTCCACTGCACAAATATGCAACTCGGAGAAAAAAAAGGTGATTAATTCCGGGAGTTGGTACATGTTCAATTTTGAAGGTCAAACTCATGACCTTCTGAAGAGTTCTGAAAACATCAGTGGATTGGTGAAGGGCTCCCTCCGTTGTTGCGTTTGAATGGAATAAAAGGTATATGTAACTCACACAGGTTTTGTTTTCATCAGGTTCAAAGACAAAATGGAGCTTGGGACTTGGCACAATTCACTGACACAGATTAGAAGTCGATCTGCGGTTAAATAACTTTAAAGATATCATTTATTACTGAACTCTCCCACTGTTGGTGTATTGATTTTTTTTTATTACAGAATACAAAAACCTTTTAATGTTATTTCGAAAATCCATCTTCCTTTCTCAATACATGTAAGAACTTAATTTATTGATGGTAGCTATGTCTTCTCCAAGATAATTATCAATGGTCCATCATTAGCAACTTGAGAAAAGCGAGGATAGTGAAACTTTTATACGAAATACTGTGGCAAGTAAGATGACGAGAGTGTTCAGTTTTAGCGGTGAGAGGAAAACCCCGGATAAAATGTACTACTGGAGAAAACCAATGGAAACAGGTAGAGGCTGATAACCCAACCCACATGGTCAGCCTGGATGGGATTCGAACCCCACTGCAGAGGTGGAAGGTGAGGAACGTAATGCTGTGCTAACCTGAACCCCCAAGTACATGTATTTGAAAAGTTCCGAAATATCAGGAAGACATCTAAAAATTGACACTCCAAGGAGTCAATATGTGACTTGGTGCAATGAGATAATACATCACAACTACTTATGTTGGAGTTCATCAAAGTAAAGTCAATTCAATGTACAGGTGGAATTATTCATGTTAAGATAATGATGGCTTGTTATGTCGGTTATCCCACCAAAGTTAAATGAACTTGAGGAAATCATGAAGTAACAGCATACATGTATTAATGACTAAATTAAGAATGGGCATATGGTTAGATGTGGAACCTTCACCGTTAAGGATTGGGTAGCTCCAATACAGTGCCTAAAACACCAAGGTGCTGACCTGAAAAATCAGTGCATACAAACACAAACACCTGGGAGATATCACTGGCTGATACCAGGACTAAAGATGCCATAAATATACATGACATAGGACTTTGGCCTCAGAACACAATCATTTCGTGTCTTTCGTTCATGTGGACCACAAACCTAGGCAAACATTTCATCAGAATCCAAAATATTTTGGTCCTTCCAAAACCACACAGAACAAAATAAATACTCCTGAGAGAGAAATCTACACTGAGTGCAGCATAGAATTTGGGGACAACACTCAGCGCACTTCACAGGTTAATGAGGAATTCTGGCTTGTGAACGTGTAGTGTACGTTCCACAGGCCTCAGTCCTTACAGAGTCGGTGCCCAATTTCTGTGCTGGCACTGTAAGCAAAGAATGGCAACAACAAGACCATAATTCCGTAGTCAGCTGAACTAGGATACTGGGCCCAGGGCATTATCTATCATCCAGTGTTCCAGTCAAGTACTTTTTGAGTGCCAAATTGTACTGCCAAATATTGAACAGGTTAAGTGGGAATAAAGCTGATAAACATGGACATTGGATGGCACTAAATGCACAAGGGAAAATTCTAAAGTTAACTTAAGAGTTCAAATTCTCACAAATCCGTAAAAATACTCAGAAAGCACTCGGTGGAGCACTCCTCGAGTACATCCGTCCTGAAAACTTAATTTTTATATGACTATGATAATTTGAGGCTATCACTTTCTTTTGTAATCTTATCTTTGTACCTTTACCATCCAAGGTCCACATTCTTCAGCTTTGTTCGCACCTAACCTGTTCAATATTTGGCAGTGAAATTGGTACTCAAAAAGGACTCGACAACAACGCTGTTGTCAGAGTATTTTACACACCTGAGTCTCTGTCGCTGTACTCTGACAGGTGCATCTGGGCCAGGCTCCGTCGGTCACTCATCACTACATCCAGGAGTCCTGTCCCTCGACTAGACTCCTCGCTGCCATATTAAAAACCAAAATTGGAAATCAGGCATTGGGATAAGAGGAGAAAGGGCAATTCACAAAGCATACAGGGCTTGAAACAATGACGACAGTAAGATACTTAGACTTTTTGGACTTGTTTATTTATAAACACCTCGGACAGTTCACCCATTCCCATTGGTTGACAGTCTGTTACATGGGTGGTTTTACAGATGATAAAACTACCAACTGGTTTGAAGCATCCTCCTGGTTTCATGTAAAATGTTGAGTCCTCCTTTTAGGAACTCTTAACCATTAAACTTGTACATAATGGGAGTCAGATTGGCGTAGTGGTTCTTTCTTTGCCTTCCACTTCTGGGGGCCTGGGTTCGAATTTAGCTTGGTCCACATGTGGATTGGGTTTTCAGTCCCTATCTGAGTCTATGGGTTACCCTGAAACGCTTATCTGGGGGTTTTCCTCCCACCTCTAAAACTGAACATTTCTTCATTGTCTTCTTCACTCATTATCGTTGTGTAATTGACACTAAATGCACTATAGGATGAACAGAAATAAATAAAGATCACAGATCTAAGTACTGTCAGACAGCCATGCACAATAAAACCTTTGGGTCTGTGGTTTCGGAGAGCCAAAATTCCACTCTACACCAGCAACGCAATATTCTGTGGGTCAGTGTTGTACTCAACTCCATCACAAGTCCTTTCACAAGTCCCTTCACAAGTCCAGTCACGAGTCCCATCACAAGTCCTTTCACGAGTCCCACAAGTCCAGTCATGACTAACAGGGTAAACAATGACAAATGAATGCTTTTGTCACAGCTCATTTGAGTACATGTAGCTTGTGAATTGACCAAAAGACTGAATGACTCGTGATGGGCTTGTGATGGACTTACATGGACTCGTATGATGGACTTGAAAACAACACTTCTGTGGATCATCCTGTAGGATGCACTAGAGTTTCCATACGATTTTAGCAGTGCGACCAAGAAGCAAGGACCTCATTTTTGGTTTGGCCATTTACTTTCCCCAGGTCACTGTCTATTTTTACAGGAACTTGTTTAAACAGCTCCATTATGCTTGTATATGGGAAATTCCCATGACGTCATACAGTCTGTAGTTTTGCTTATGCCGTCATTGGCCGTCAAGCGCCGTATGCATGGTAACGCATCCAAATAAATGTATGAGCACAGTTTCTTTGCTGTCACGGTAAAATGGTTTAGGTTTGCTGTGCCACAGGGTGCTATAATCGTGAAGATACTTTAAAAGATCTGCATTTCTATCAGATTCCTGCAGATCCGCAAAAAGAGCGAAATCTTTTGCTGCAATTTGACGAGAAAACTGGACTCCAAACTCGCACATATGACTCTGCAGTGTTCATTTCATTGCGAGTAGTAGGCCTAGTACTAACGTCAGTACAGTTCCGTAACATAGCGCATTTCATACTTTCCACTGACTTTCTTCTCAAGGTACTGCAAAACCTTTGAAACATATCATACCCTGTGAACACCATCCAAGTTATTAGTAAAATATTAAGAGTCGGAAAATATGATTTCTTTCATGAGATTTGTCATTTTCTTCTCCAACATTGATCCAAATTGTGTGTTACTATGCAGTGCAAGCACGTCTCACAAGTTGGCTTGACGGCCAATATGGCAGGCGAGCTAAAATCACATGACAATGTGACGTCGGTGAATAACCTATATTCCCTTTAATCAGGCATGAATTCAAATGACAATGATCATGTAAGTCTTGCCCTTGATTTTGCTCACAAAATGCCATCTTTCCCACTAGCCTGTCTCTCCTTTGCCAGTGAGGGGGTACTTCTACTTGGTCTCTTGCTGAATTTGTGCATATTTCATAACCGACCAATTGTATTATATGCACAATGATGCACTTAATGTTTTAAAAATTTTTAACTTCTTCCTGACACTATGGTGTAAAAAATGAGGACAGATTGCAACAAAGAGAGTCTGAAAAGAGATACAAACCACTAATCTTTGGTTTACAGAGTGGATTTCAAAAACTGCTGAGCTACGTAAACCAATCTGGAAGAGGTATTTTTGTGACACATGTACTTAATACATGTAGCTCATTATACACCGCACTGCTTATGCTCAATAGAGGGTGCATGGCACTGCACCAGCAAATTTGTGTATCTTTCACAGTCAACCAAATTTGGTGAGACTAGGTTGGGACTCCCTAAGACTTCTTGTACATATCTTAACACTTGAAGGCTGTGTGCTAATGTTATGGCTCTGGCTGGAAATCACGCAGAGACCTACGATGCCAGTAGCTAGCGGCAAGAGCTACTTCCCATAACCCCATGTGTTGCTCCTGGCTGAAACTGGTTGATATCGATATGGCTTTAGTCCATTCATTCTAGTGAACAGGTGCTGTACATGAATACCAGCTACATTAAGCTTTCCTACCTCTGCATGGCATCATATGTTTCCTTCCATGTCGACAGCATCTGCTTGCAGGTCATCAGGGCCTCCTCCGGGCCAGACTGTAACTCTTCCAGCTTGACTTTGGTGAACATGAGACTGAACGAGGAGACACAATTGTTGGCTTTATAGAAAAAGGTAAGGACACGTCTCCTGCAATTGCCTGGTGTTTGGTTTTTTTCACTTTGACTTTGAAATAACGTGTAGAGGGATTTCACATTAGCGCCGTCTGCGCATATCTGCCTCGAAACCGAGGCTCTCTGTGTTGAACTTCCTCGCGCGCGCCCACGGAGTCCACACAGTACATGTATCCGGTTCGTAACTGTGACGCCATTTCAATTTTAACCATGCCCACTGCACAAGATACACGACCATCGCTGGTATGTTAGTTTGCGGTCAATTGTCCTTATTTTTCTTTGGATTTTACGTGTCCTATCATCCTGAAAGACTCTTCCACAAAAATTTCGGGCTGAAAAGTCTGAATTTAACATACCTTTATGTATTTTGTGTCTTAACTCCTTACTTTCAATCGTCTGATCGTATTAAAAATTGAAGTTGACACATACAGCCTCGTTTTCAAACGCGGAAGTGCGCAGATCGATGCTAAAAGCGTCGTATTGGGATCCCTCTATTAGCTTCATAAAAGCTTTTCTGTGTATCTGGCTTTAGGCATCTCTAAGAATAAGCACTGCCTCAATATCACTCTTTTGGGACAGAGTCAGAAAACGTCATATAAATTCTTGTCCTCGTGACATCTGACGGGAACCTCTGTGCAGAAGTAAGCGAGGCTATGAGTGCATACGCATGCTTGAGAATGAGGCTAACAAGACAAAAGGGAAGACATGTTGCAAAGTACCCTAATGTGAGCTTGGAAACTTTGAGGCAGTCGGCTCTTCTTGGGTACATGTCTGCTGTTGGGGAGCAAGAGGCCCTTTCACGAGATGTAATTGATGTTAGGGTATCAAACAGGTATTAGAGTGCAAGACTCGCCCTCCAAAAAAAAATCCAAAACAAAATAAGACAAGGCAAAAATAAACCAAACCAAAATTAAACCAAATCAAAACATGCCCGACTATGAATACATTAGAGTTCAGTTATTACTGGCATCTGTTTTCCAGAGGCAAAACATAAAGAAGTGAGTCAAACATTCTGTACCATCTTTTGTCAAACACCACTCCCTCCCTTCAGCCAAACCCTGGGTGCGACTCTGCAAGTGGTTGCAACACAATAATCACAGTGGTTTAAGTAAATGAATTTCATCAATCAGATCTTTTCTGCTGTCTTACCTCATACTGTCTGGGTACTGATTGCAGGCTACCTCTATCAGGCCTAAGGCCTCTATGTACTGCTTCTGGGCCGACAGCAACAAGGCCAGCAGGTGAAGGGATGGGATATGCTCGCCGTTCAGTCTGAGAGCCTCGCGAACCTTCAAGACAGCCTCTGGAATCTGGATTGGTGTTGGATAGGAAAAAAAAGAGAAGCTGGTAAAGATTTGGATACAAGTGAGTTTCTAGGGTTGCAACTCCTCTCGAGGTTTTGATGCCGACACTGTCGATGCCACTCTTTAATCACTTGCTGCCGGGTTTAATTTGAACTTGCATGATGTAAAACTGGGGATTTTCAAGACTTTCCATTTTCAAAGTTCTTAAAAAAATTGTAAGTACATTTAGTGGATGTTTACATCCACACGAATGATTGTCTGGTGGTTACTCTTAAACAGACAACATCTATGGATTCCTGAGTATTTCAGCCAGGCCTGCCACCTGGTAAAAAGAACCCAGATTGTGTGGTGTTACATAAGTTTCTTTGGTTCCTGAAACTGGCACGGTGCGTGGTTGACGTCTTTTCAATTGGGGCCAGATTAGCGTGCAGCGGTATTGTATCACTCATCACTGGAGCATTGGAGCACTTTTGTCCCCGTTGGTAAGCCGCTCACGCGGAATGACACAAACAGTGGTACAATCTTTTAAAGCAATGACAGATTTCCTCCGCTATTGACAACTGAAAAATATGTTGGCAATTCCCAGCAGCTCAAGTCTTTTGTTCTGAGTACGGTCTTTTGTTATAAGGCCCAGCTCTTTTGTCCGGTTTCGGGCTCCCTGGCTTTGTTTATAAAGCCTACATATATGTGCCCGAAACCGGGGCATTTAAGAGCAGTAGTTGGTTGTGGTTGCACTTCCAGTTTGGGTGTCATTACTCTTGTAACTCTAGCTGTAAGCAGGCATCTTTAGTGCTGATACTCATGTCCATTTCTTTGCTGTTATTGCAAGGATCTGGTTGTTGGTTTGGTATTTTGTCATTGCTTACTGTTGCTCTTTGAAGCTTCTCATGGTGAAGGTAGCAAGTTAGTTATAAAGGTTTGCGGTGGCACCATGCAAGGAGGGTGCTCTGTCCATCATCAGGAGACTGCAGTCAGTCAGATAGGCAGTCCAAAACGTTGAGTACTTTTGGTTCTTTTCAGGACCCCACCCACTCACATAAGAGATATCCTTGCATGGTGCTACCGCAAACCTTCATAACTAGCCATTAATATTGTTGCAGCTGCTGTTGTAATGTAAGAGCTCATTTAATGGTGTGGCTGCTGTTATCATGGTTGATGCAGTTGTTTCACTCATTCCTCTGACTATTGTCTTTGATAAGGCCGTGGTCGGTGTTTTTCATGCTGTTTTGATGTTGATCTTGTCACGCTGCTGCTGTTGATGTTTTGTTGGTGTTGTTTTCCTACTGCTGTGGTAAGTTGTTGTCTGGTTGCTGCCTGTTGTTATTTACCTGTCGGGATATTGCCAGCTGCCATGCGATGTGGTAAAGGACCAGGAAGTCTCCAGCATCCAGAGAGTTGGACTTCTCCAACGCTTTGAGGGCCTTCTTCTGTAGCTCCTGCCTCTCTGTGTGTATGCTGGCTGTAATGCACAACGGAAAAAGGTCATCATACATTGAATTGTCATGATGTATACACTTATCTGATGATCCCAAATGGACAACATTTAACAAGGGGCTCTTATACTGGCACAGATGTCACAAAGAATTTATTCGGAAGGAGGGGGAAAGATTTGTTTTGGGGGGAGGGGGCACACCCTAAATAATTAACAGAGGAGGGGTCAATTCTGAGGTATTATCAAGCAAACTGGTGATTTTCATCATTTCTTATTTTTGGGGGGGCTGGGTTTGGGATAAGTACCTCACTTGTCGCCCTCCCCCGACACCTATGTATTCCAGATGAATTCTTTATATTGAAGAATCTAATAGTTCAAATACTACTCTTACTTAATAATGTATAAGGGTTCCTGCACCTAAAGGACAATTATATTCCATGACTTTTCCATGCTTTTTTCATGACCAAATTATGAAAATCCATGACCTAATAATGCAACTTCTTGGACTATTCAGACATTTAAAATTGCAAATAAAATCACACATTTTATGCACTTATTTCTGATCATAGAAATCACACAGTGTTTGAAGAGTTCCATATCTTTTCCATGACTTTAGTCATTTTTACAATATTCCATGACTTTTCCAGGCCTGGAAAACAAAAGCAAATTTCCATGACTTTTTCACGACTTTTCCAGGCTGTGGGAACCCTGTATGGTATGTGTGAGGAAGCCAATACAGTCAACTCCATGATAATACTGCTTTGAGGACAAGCCAGGTCACTTTGTTACAACCAGAACCTTGCTATAAACAGACTGGAGGGATAAAAACCAAAAAAATGAGAGATTGAGAGCCTGACAGTTTGCTGCTCCTGACAGGATTTCATATGAGCAGTGCTCTTAATATTGAGAGTCAACTATAGAAAGAACAGTTACGGCAGCACTTAATGGTTAAAGCAGGGCCAAGTCTCTGGGGTTGGCATCTATTCATTTTTTCCCCTCTAGTTCATTCAAGTGAGGGGTAGCATGCAAATTGGAATGTATTCAAAGAATCAACAGGTTGCGTCAATTTCTGACCAGTGAGAACATCTCAGGAGAAAAAATGATAAAAACGACACCAACATGCTCGTCTAATAAGTAAGGAGAAATCAAACAACAGTTGTTCCATTTAAGTGAGAGCTGCCAGAGTATGTCACCACTACCCTTCCATTACGGCAAGCAGTGGGGTGAATATGTACCAGTATGGTAGGTGTGAAATATGACCACTAACTTTCATTAGCTTTAAGCGAGTAGCCAACACCAAGCCACAGATAGCTTTTGGCGATGAACGGGCTGCCCTCCCCCAAGGCTACAGCTTTCTCTGCAAACTCGATGCCTTCATTTATCTAACCAAAAATGAGGAAGAAAAAGATGTCTTGAATCCTGAGAAACAACACCCCACTCATCTTACAGAAAGATGGGATAAATTTGTGTGCATTGCGTTGAAAATTGGTTTTGTGTAGTCCTGGCTCTTTGAACACTGAAAACAGGTTTGCATGGGCAGAGTCCTTGACTAGTTCCAGTGACAAGTAAGCCACACAGAGCCATGAACAGAGCCTACAATGATTCAAACACTCTGTCCAATTTAATCACAAGGTCTGTGATCTGTGGGCTACATCTCCGATGCTCAAAGAACACAGACAAATTTTCTTGTCTTTAATAGTCAATTTTTTGTACAAAATTGGTCCTCGAAAATGTGTGTCTTTAATGCACCTGAGAGTCTTACACAAAGAAAAGGAGAAACAATGCCTTGTCTTCCGGGGTATAGCAATTCATGACAGTGTGAACAGGTGCTTCTCAGGCAAGTGCGACATTACTGTACCCACATTTATCCTTCGCGACAAGACCCTAGGCCACATATAGCGAGCAGAATCTAAATTAAACAAGTCATCAAATAAACCTCAATGTCAACTGCTGCTATCATACGAAAACAGTTCTTTGTCCCTATACACAGATTTCTGGAAGTTCTACTCCATGTGAACTTTACAACGTCTGTTGCAATTACATGGACAATCAATTGAAAAACAAAGAGCCACTGCATGTTGAACATCTTTATCTTCAGACTTTTAACTCTTACCATATTCAGTTTCTCAAGGCATATCTTGGTGGCTTGTAGCAAGACTGGCCCATTCTCGGGCTGCATTGTGGCACACTCTCGCAGCACTAATAATGCCCTGGTGTGCTGAAAATTCATAACATAGTCCCCAGAAAAGGGAAATTATCAGTGTTTAGTTGAAATCCCTTAAGACTGTTACGCAACCTGACGACATTTAGTCTGAATGCAAGTCACAAGCTATTCAAACAAACTAAATTTTTGTCAGTTTTCATTGTTACTTCTGCTTGGTCTGGTGTCTGGCCTTGTGAAGCTCTTGACTACAGCAATGTGAATTGGGTTGCAAATTTTAAATGACTCAATTCACTTTGAAACACATTTGATTTGATCACTTTCACAGTCTGGACAAATACATGTGTTACAAACTTGCAGTAAGCAAGAAGGGCAAAGATTCTCAATACTAATAATGGAGGGTTGCGTGGCTGCCATCTTGCAGGTCGGGGCTTTGGTGCCACAGGGTATGCATAAAGGAGGTTTCCCTGTGCAACAAAAGAACTGCCCTGCAAGATGGCTACTACGCAAAGCCTCTATTGGCTGATGTCAAAGAGATGACCAATACCACACTGCGTCTCAACTACAAGTGTGAGGACTTGAATCACCCCCTAAATGGCAAAGTAGGGACAGGTTGGCGGGAACTGTTTCATCTGGTTACCCTGTGCACACAAACTGGCTGAGCATGTTCAGCATGACCAGCACCAAACCTGTTCCCCAAAGCGATGAGTCTCCACTAAAGGACCTACATGTACATGTAATGTTCTTGCACAAGGTGGTCAAGAGTATTTCTGGATGCGTGGAGCTTTATAGCTTGTTGATAGTTATGTCAGAGGTCATAGAACAATGACAACAGGCCAATACAGACTTTAAGTCCCAAGGTTTAGCGTAAATCACATACGATCTTGTTGAATTTGGCATGGTTAGAATAACAACATGGGCCACACGCCTCCACCTGTCAGTATAACAGAATCTCCTAGTTGCTGTTTCATTTTTTGGACCTACCCTGCCAGCACTAATGAGCGCCAATGCAAACTGGTACCACATATGAAACTCCTGGTAGGAAAACTTCATTGTGCCATCCAAGAACTAAAAGAAAACAAAACATCGTCTTGGAATATTGGAAAGCAAAATTTTTCTAGCCTCTTTTTCATGATGAAAAGTGTAAGTATGTTTTCGAAAGAATATTCATATTTAGTATAGAGGTGAACATCAGCTGGAGTTTTCTTACATCGGCAAGCATACTAAACTGGACTCTCCTGGACAACGTAATGGCAAGCAGATCATATACGGCAGTAGCGTGAAGAAAGGAGTGTTCTCTACTTTGAGCATGCTCTTTAGAACGACTCAAGACGACATCCCGATTCACCTATGTGGGTAAGTGGACAACATTGAGGTATAAGCATGTGTATATGATCTTGATTACGTACACACGCTGTGTGACATACTTTTACAATGAGTATCCAAAGAAAACTAATCTTAAAAGTGCAAATGGTGAAGGCTGCGTGTGTGTTTTAAACACAGATTTGAAGCAAAATTTTTTTATAATGCAGGAGGTTTTTGAGTACAAACCAAAATAACATGAATAATGAAATTTTTCATTCGCATGGAAACCAAAAGCAGCATAATAACTTTTACAAGAGTGAAACAAAAACTGAACATGAGGTTAACCGAGATACAACGGTGCATTTTGGAGGCTTTTGTTAAAAAATTCCATTACAGCTACCTTTCCCAAGTCCTGAACTCCTGCAATATTAATTTAGGACCCAAATCCCTCCTAGTGAATCCTTGTCATCCCACAGATCATAGTTCAATGTGACAACATTTACGAGGAGTTGTCTTGGATTTAAGGAGTATTTCTATTTTTTGGTGACAGAAATTACCTGAAGCTCGCTGATCAGTAAAAGCAAAAGTGCTTCTTCTTCAACATTCTTAGGAACGAATAAGCTGAAGGAGATACAAAAGATATTGTTGGTGAAGACAAAACAAAGACCGGGTTAATGTTGGTGTCATTCTGTAACTTGAGCAGTTTCCTTTCGAATTTGGCTTGATTTGTATTTAGTGCAGGTGGGTGAGATGTCATGACACAAACTATAAGATGGAGTGCATGTTTGCTTTTATGAAGATCTCTACGTCAGTGATTTAGACATGTCAGTGTGAAGCAAACAACTCCAGAAATGCTTAGTGTCTGATTGTTTAGTATTCAAAGTTAGGCATTTCAGATGTTCCATAATTTTTTAAACATTGGGAAAGACTCCACATGACACACTCCATGTAAGCTCCGTGTTGCAGGCAAATGCATCCTACCAACTGTGCCAAATATGCTACACCTGATACAAATGGTTATGGTTAGAATTAGAACAACCGTGCATGCCAAAATGCCGCAAGCCATAGAATATAACACACCTCTCACAGCTTAATCGTCATCTCGGGAGGTTTTTCAGGCATAGCCACATGGCGTACACTAATATGCATACAAGCAAGTGCATGGAATTTCAGTTGAACATGAATTTGGTGCTTAAAGCATCACATGCTTACAATGTCTGGAGTACCGTGCTCAGTTAGACTATCCGGACATACTCTTGATGATTGACTGGTGATACACGAGCCCTCCTCAGGCTATCATACATGTAAGAGATTGTCCGAGATTATACTGACAGGTCTATGCACTGTCTAGGCTGATAAGTGACCACCACAGGGGCCTCTTCCCATAAGCTTAGCCCTCGAAGACAGAACCCTTCTGAGGACATTCACCAGACCTCATCAAGTACATGTTATTGTACATAGATACATGTGCATTAGTCCCCTCACTGTCAACCTAATGGCATCCAGCAAGTCACGCACAGTAAGCCTAAATTCACTGAGTTGGGAATTTGCTTTATATTGAGTAAGGAGCAGGCCTGAAGCTAGTCCTGGTTGCAAGACGTCCTTAGTGGTACAATGTTTCAGAGTGCACAATTCTTGCATTGGGCAATGATTCACCAAAACAGGGGCCCTTGTGCTGCCAAGGACCTCTTGAAACCAAAACTAGCCAGACGCTTACTTAAGGGGGAAGGGGGAACAATGCACTGACCAAGGCTCGTCAGTCATCCATTTTTAACAGCTGGCAATCAGCCCTGGGTATTAAACCACAACACATGTTTGCTGTGGATGAATCAGTTTGAAATAAAGCTGTTGCATGTAATCATTTGTATGAATGATGATGGGAATGACTCTTGTTATTCAACCCCAAATAGAAATTACAAAAGATGACCAATGGCCAGTAAGTAATTCCATGGTAATGGAATGACACTTTGACATATTACAGCACACCTTCAGTGAAGGTGATGATGTGCGAATAATTTCACTAGTAACAGCAAAAGGTCAACTGATGTACTTCTAACACCAAATTAAGTTCCATTTTTAAAAAAAAAAACACTTTTACTTTTGTAATTACGTCAATGAGGTCGGTAACAAAATAACACTATTTTATGTACTTAATGTTATTCTGTTACCAGTTACCAGCCTCAGAAACAATTCTTCACTACCACAGATGTTTCCATTTGATATGGTGATGATCGTTTTCACTCTCCTTGCTATTATGCAATATGCCAAAGCATTCAGATGTTATTCAACACGACTCATTACCAGAAATGCTGGTAATCAGCTGAATGTAGATACCCCATCATTTTTATCCAGTTTAGGTCTGTTTCCTGCCGCATGGATAACTTAGAATATGGACTTAACCCTCCCGTTTCTTTCAAAAATCCAGCTGGAGGGTTGGGCGAATTTTAGCCAAATTGTAGAAAGTAGAGCTCCACCATGATGACTTTACGCGGGACTTGATACCCTTTGAGTTCAATGCTACAGAATAGTGCACTGGTTTCCTGCACATGGGACATTTGAGGAGATTTAAGACAGGTTCCTGGCAAGATTGCACTGACAACTTGACTTTACAGACGAGTGGGCCATTCTACGATTTGAGTCCAAATGTGTGACATTTTTGTGTTCTGTTACGCCCCGGCGAATGTAAATTTGACATGGAAATAGTCATTACAATTGATTTCAAAATATATTCAGTTGTTTGGCACTAAAATTGGCATTGGCAGGTAGATGTGTAATTTGAATCACAAAATCACGCTTGGAAAATGCGATTTTTTAAAAAATCACGTCAGCTATGACCAGGCACCAAAAAATTGGACCCCAAAAATGTAGAATGACCTGAATAGCTAACTTTTTTCTTTTGCAAATTTAGAATGTTAACCAACTTCATGGGACAACTCTGCAAAATATTATCTACAAAATGCAAATCAGTAAATGTGCTGTTACTGGTGAAGATTCAACTGGTGAAAATCTTGAAGTAAAGAGAAAATTGTGAAATTGTAATGAGTGGCAATATTGCATCATGCCAGCAGAAGCAACATCAGTGCTGGACAGACAAGGTAAAGGGTTCAATATCGGACAAGTCCTCAAGACAAAGATCATGGACAAGAAAAGTCATTAATTTGAAGCAAAGACATCGGTCTTGACAGACATGTGAAAACTGGAGGGAAGGGCAACAGGACAAAAATCGCACTTCAAGCTTAAGGTTTGGAGATAAGCCCACATGGTAGCCATCTTGTTTAGTTTCCCCGCTACGGTCAGCTTTATGCATGTAAACACCAAAAGAGCACCGTGCTATTTCCCACTTAGACATTTTGTTTATGCTCACAGACGTGTGCATGGGGAAATCCAAGATGGCCACTGCAGGTTGAGGATTTTTTCACGAAATGGGTCTTGAATTCCAAAAGTTCTCTGACTTCAAAGTTTACATCGAAAAGTTTACATGCAAAAGGTGACAATTGACAATATTACAAAGTGGGGAAAATTTTTCATGAGACAAATTTTTTTTCCCCTGAACAATTCAAGTTCTCTTTAAATTAAAGTTATAGAGGCTTTGCGTGGTAGCTCTCTTGCAAGGCAGTTCTTTTGTACCACAAGGGAACCTCCTTTGTGCAAACCCTGTGGAACAAAAGCACTGGCCTGCAAGATGGCAGCCATGCAAACCCTCTATAAGGAGATCCGAAGATGTGGTAGAAAAGACGGTCCCCATTTGGGCACAGAGTAATGGGCTGTCTTTTTACAACTGATGCTCTCAAAAGTTGGAGAGAGCATTTTGGTATTTACCTCTGAAATCTTTACATTCATATCTTGAAAATGTAAACTCACACAAGAAACCTGTTTACTCTCAAACAATGGACAGGCAAAATATCAGAGAACTTTGGAAAAACAGTGCTTCAGCCAAGTCCTTTTCCAGTTCTCCAAATTTACTGAAACGTAAGGTGGAGCAGTAGATTAAGCCAAATCACCCAAGACGTGCTGACTGAAAAAAGTAGGGACATGAACGTTTGGATGCAGAGCTTATCATTAGTATGTCTGCATCAGAACTCGGATGTAGATTACAGCCTGGGTCATGTTTTTTGCAAGCTCTCGTTCAGCAGACCATCTCATCCATGTGCTGTGCTCAGATCCTAACCAATAATCAGAGACCTGAGTTTTCAGCTGCACTGAATAGTTCCCAGGCTTGTGTCTTACCACATCACCTCAATACATTTCAGCATACTTAACACACTCAGGAAAAGGACTCAACCCACAGCACTGTTGGAAAGTCAACCAAACATTAATATTGATGGGAATAAAAGCAGACACAAATAGAAGGGGTCTAGAATCAAGGCATGTCCATTCAGTGAACCACCACCAGAACTAAGATACTAGCTGGGGAACTTACAGTTCATCTGGACAGTGGCTGGGACGGCTGTATATAAACATGGAGAGATGAGGTTATATTCTACACACCTACATGTATACACGGTGGGGTAGGAACATGTCGCCACTGTGATAACCAGTGTTGTAGTCAAGACCTGTTGAGACCATCACAAGACTGCCACAAGACTATACATGAGAATACAAGTCTGAATTCAAGTCACAAGCCATAGCCTCTGGCCTTGAGAATGGTCTTAGGCAAGGTTTTGTTTCTGCCCATGAGAATGGCCTTGGGCAAGGTTTTGTCTCTAGCCTTGAGAATGGTCTTTGGCAAGGTTTTCTTTCTGGTCTTGCAAATGATCCTGTGATGGTCTCCACTACAACATTACTATTGATAACGCATACCAAGGGCTCTATTACAGTCTATATGTACATATTGGAGACAAGTTAAGAGAGGGTGGGTGACGTCAAGAGAGGGCACAGAACAATGCAAGAGAGATTAAAATGACAATTTAGACAATATAGTGCAGTGAATCTAGATGAGCGTTGTCAAAGACTTTGTACATTTACTTTGCTTGGAGTTCTAGTATGAGCGTTGCTACAAGCTGACATATTGAAGAACTTGCAAACAAATGTTTCTGTGACAAACCTGGTGTTGACGTGCATTTGTTTTTTGAGTAATGAAGAAACTCAGAGAGAACACCTATTCTTAAAACACTGTGAATACCATTTTGGGCTGGATTTTTGTTCATGGTTTCCTTACGCTGTGAATAATCCTACCAGCAAACTACAACTTTTTATCAGAAAGTGGGTAACCTGTCGTGCACCTGCATTATGTGGAAATGTTTTGTTCTTGGGTTGACAAAGACGGCAAGGTTTGCATGAAAATTCTCATAATGAGTTTTATTACACAGAGGTCTTGAAGAACAATTCTTGACGAAAAGTGTTAAATCTAACCTCAATTTATATATTACGATTGTTCAACAGAGGAAAACCCATATCATCTCTCCATCGCAAAACTTCCATAATTTCAAACAATCACTGACTTTATCTGAGAAGATCACACTGTGATTTTGGGTGCAATAATTTTGTAAGATGTAGAAATGTAAGCTTTGGAAAAAAAATGATTTACTCTTTGAATTTAAGTTGGTCTGTTGGCTTACCTTTCTGTGGTGTACATCTTGGGCTTGAAGGAGCTCCTGGAGCTGACAGGCTTGAGTGAAGACAGGGAGGCAGAACCTGGCCCGCGAGGCAGAGAACTCGGCGTACTAGACTTCTCCTCCTTCTCCACCTCCTTCTCGATGGGGGGCGGGGTGTATCTGTTCTTGCAAACACCTAGACATCCATTCAACCAATGTGTGCATTGTGAAAGGGCAAAGGTGGGGGGAGGCGAGGGTTGGAGATCAGTGGTGCACTCAATGGGAGAGGGGGCCTAGAGGGACTTGAGCCCAACCCAAGAGGTTGGGTTAAACTACTAGCTCTGATTCAGCCGTAAATCCCAGTCCCCCGTGGCACAACTGGGGAAGGGAGGCTTGAGCTATTTTGGGGGAGTAAAATCTGGTCTGAGTCCCCCCCCCATGACAATCCTGGGTGCGCCACTGCTTGAGATGGGGTGCTGGGTGTGTTGTAAGGTTGGAATCTTCTTCAATGTCACAGTGAAACATGTTTCAGTTGTTCCAAACTTTCCCCATTTGTTCAGCTGTAGTCTAGCGCACATATTGACACTAATATTGTGTAAGTTGCATGTACCCTTGTCTTAATAAGTCACATATTCAAATGAGAAAACTGTCCATACCTGTTGCGCACACAGGTACATAGCACAGGCTGAGAAGTTGAGGCATATACATGTACCGGACAATGAGTGACTGCAAAATAAAGTAACTCCTGATAATGAGATTGTGGTTTTGCCCATGCTTTGCCCAAGGAAGACAGCGATCTTGCGCCCAACGCTGTCAGCCTACAGGTATTTTATGTCTGAATATCGGGGTCCAATGTACCTCTTAGAAGCACTTCAGCCAGCTCTCGGGCCATGGTCGTGCGGATGCCTTGTGAGGTCCTTGCCTCCACAGCCTTGAGGATTTGTCGGAAGCGACCAATACCTTTGTCCAACTTCCTGTTGAGAAACAGTCAACAATTTAATTTCATATTTAATTTGGCAAGTGCTTCGCCAAGATGTGTGACTGGATAAAGCTTTAATACGACTGATCTGAGGCAGACAGCTTGGCTAAGAGAGGGCATGGCTGCTGTCATGTGTCACCTCAAAACAGAGCCCAATTTCGTGGCACTACTTATTTCAGAATTTAGCACTTAAGATGTCCATTCTATGCAAACCACGCTAGCAGAAAAATTCTGTCCTAACCTTTTAAACACAGAATCCTTAGTTAGGGGATGTACACATGTGCACAAGCCAAAATTCCTCGCCAACTTGTCAAATATGTTTGCCGTAAGCACATAATTTTATGCTACAGTAGGTGCCCATTTTTCGCTTGCGGTAAGCAGCACTGTGAAATTGGGCCCAGATTGGTGAATCAGAAAATTGCAAAGGGCCTTTCAGCCAAGCTACCAATTCCTCCAAAGTATGGAAAATGGATGTATCAGCACAGTTGTGTATACTGTAATTTGGTAACTAGAATTCAAGGCCATTACTGAGGTGGAACGATATTCAGGGGCACATAGTGCCACACACATTTAAAGAGCACCTCTCAGGAAAAAATCGAGCGCAGTGTCATTTGACTTCAGAGCTCAACTATAACAAGCTTAAAAGGGCTTTTTTTCTGTTCATGCCAAGATGCCAATTCTAAACATGCTGAATGTAGATTGCACCATTCTGAGAGAACAGAGGAACTGAGGAGAACCCTAGCCCTGTGTTTGTAGTGGATAAACCCTTGTGCATGCCAAACAAAGCACGTAGCCACAAATGACACTGCCTTCAATTTGGATGCTTCCATATTTATTTGAACAGATAAAATCAGAGCAAACATGTTTTCCTTAGAGGTGCTCTTTAGATGCCTCTCTGAACAGGGGGTCGCGAACTGCCAAACCATGTATGTGCCCAGCTTCAGAATGGATGTGCGGATGTTGGCCAGGGTATCCTTGGATTAGTCTCGGATTTCACTGGCCATTACCCATAGCCCCCCTCCAAAATACTACACAGCATTGTGTTGGTTTGTACAGAGCAAGCGTCGCAGAGCAGTGGTTTGTACAATAGCTTCCACAATGCAAATCGCCATTGATGGGGGCCACTGCATAGAAATGATGACAGGGTTAACGTTGTCACATGATTTGTCTATACACAACGGCATAACCGGGGTAAATTTCCATCAAGGGATATACACTTTTGTCAGGGGGATACAAACAGGTAGGTTTTTTTTATATGTATGCATGTATTTCAAAATCTCAAGGGAGGGAGGGAGCCCTTTGCATGATTCGTGTAATTTAGACGTTAATAAAGTGTTACTCTTGTTTTAATGTAAAATAATGAAAAACATCTCGCAGAAATGTGTCAATGGGTGCCACCAGTTTCCTGAAAACTGAAAGATGTAGAATATTTAAGAAAGTTCATAGCAACAGGGACAAGAGTAGATATAGTACATTACCCTTCTTGTATGTGTATGAGAGGTGCTCTCTGCACAGCTGTTTCTAGCACTGGGCCCACCAAGTTGCCGCCCCCTCCAAGACTACTGGTTGAGGACAGTACTGAGCCTGCTCCACGACCTTTGTCCACTTCCTGGAATATAAAAAAAAAATCTTGGTCATTTGGTGACTGAACCCAAAATCCAACAGGGAAGTGTGCAAACAAAAAAGATTAAACATGCATTCACTAAACAGCCTTGAACTACTTAAAATACCAAGAAGGCCCTACCATTTTTAATTTGATTCCTAACTTTCCGTATGATTGTTTTTGCATTCATCTAAGCCAAACTAACATGAACATTTACGCAGCTGTATACAACCAGGGTTTCCCCTGCCTATTCAAGTGTGAGGCGGCCCACCTCGCTTATTTTAATGACCACCTCAGGCTTTTTCTGTTGAATTTTACCACCTCACAGTTAAATAGACAAAGATGGAAGGAAAAAGCAAAATGACTAAGATATTTTGAAACAGATCAGTTTCAAATCATTTCAAATTTTTTCAGAGGTACACAAAATACAAGACTGATTTATATTAGAAGGGAAATTTAGAGTAAATGTACTATTGCACCTTTTTGAAAACATTCCCTTTTGTTTTAGGCACTAGAATTTTGGCAAACATGTAAGTACCCCAGAAGAAAGCCTGTACACAACTGTCCACAGAATAGGGAAATGATTTAGTGTGTGGACAAACCTGCAGATACAGCAGGGCCATGTCTCCTGCCTTCTCAAAGCACTGCACAATCTCCTCCTTCAACTTCTCTTTCTGAGAAGTATCTTCAATGGCTGACAGCATCTGCTCCTTGCACATTCCTGACAGGACGGAGGAATGAATGGTGTTTAGGCCTTTGGCATATTGGGTAATGTGGCAAATTAGAGCAACTGCAGATGTCAGGAAATTGCCGTGGAAGGCCCACGTTCTGCTCAAAGCAGAATTTCTTTTCACATCAAAACACAGAATTTTTTCTTCTTGTAAGTCCCTTCTTGCCTGTTAACAGTTTTGCAACATTGAAATATGTAATAATTTTCTGTTGTATCAATGTTTTCAAATGACATTGTTCATAATTTACTGCAGTTTTCCCCTTTTGGATTTCAAAATTCACCAAGCTCCTCACCTTTGATAGCAAAGGCCTCAGCGACTGCTTTAAGTCTTGTACAAGACATAGATGACTTGGAGATTTCATCCAGGTGGATCTTGTCAAATAACTTCAAGACATCTCCGTATTCGCCGAGAGTGTAATCCAGCTTGGCCAGAAGCAACTGGGCATCGATGCGGAGGACATGCTGTGGTTAACAGAGCAAAAAAAAAAAATATCTAACTTAAGAAGAAATTCCCAGCTTCCTCAATCCTGCAGATAGGACTGAGGAAGGATGCAGACTGCAGAAAGGGTTAAGAGTCATCCCTAATAATCCAGAGCATCCAATTTTGATGAGATTGGTCAATCACTTTTGGTTTAGGGTTAGGATCTGTGTGCTGTAAACACGAATCCTTATAACCCAATCTGTTGAAATCTAATGCCATTGGATGGACCATTTTGGATCAATGCTGTGAGCAAAGAGAATAAACACATTGGCTTGCGATCGTGGTTAGATTTTTTCACAATTTGGCATGCTTTTATGCAGTTTTTAGATACTGTTGGGTTCAAAATAATATTGGGTTCAAAATGATGATACTGGAGAATCTCCAGTTGAGATCAGAGCTTATTCAAATCTTTCAGCTGTTGTCTGTGGGTACCAAATGTTTTACAATCACCGCATCCCCGGTAATCATGGTAACAATGCAACTATTTCCTACCTACATGTATATGTACATGTACCGTGTGAATGTTACTTGCATCCGAAATGGACTTCCAATGCTAAGGCCAAGTCAATTGTCAGAACAATGACCATATAGAATAATTTGATTAGACGCCAAAACTGCGGGGGCACCATACTCACACGCACATTCTTCAGCTTGTCGCACGCATGCATTTGGCAAATCATGACATGCTGTCGGTCGAAGAAACATGTAACACATGCGTACTACCTGTCCACGAGCGTTGTGCCACCGTAGTAATGGCCTCTAATTATGGTGGTCAAATTACACTACACATGTTCTTGCAACTGGAAAAGCCAGACCTAGCTCTTGAGACATGATTCAGATGGACTGGTGTGTGGCAATTGTTCTGACAGATCAAAGCATCCAAACTTAGTGTGGCACAATACAGTGCTCTGTTAACTCCTGTGTGATGAAGTGGTTTATGCGTGTGTTTTCAGAATACAAGTACTTTGTTGGGCCTATTGCCATGGAACTGCTAAGTGGGAAAATGTTGATAACCTTTGCTTTTAAGAAGAAGCTTTACCACTTAGCAGATTTCACTGCTTACAAATATATTAGCAGCACTAGGGAACTGATACAAGGAAGAGAATGGTAACCACACAATAACTGACCTTGCTGCCTGACTTTGCAGCCAGGTGAAGATGATGCTTAGCGCTGGCCAGCTGCTTGCTAGCGTCCTTGCTAAGCGTTTTGCCTGGGGGATTCTGCAGAAGGTACAGCTCCAATTCACTCTCTCCTAAGGCCAGATGGGTCAAGGACTCTGCAAATGATAATGTACTGGCAGTGATGTAAAAGTAAATACATTATTATGTACAACACGTGAACAGCTAGGATTTATACCCTTGCATAAACAGGAATGAATACAATTCAAAACACGGGAGAGTTTTGGTGATGCGAAGAGTAGCTGTAATACGGGTGATTCGCTACACAGTGCCACACCAAGAGTTTGCCGCAGACAGGTCCAATTTCAAGTTTGCAGTCAACACGTTGCTGGGATTAAGCCCACTTGCGTGATTTTGGAATATTTTATTGATCGAGGCATTCCTTGCACCACACACAACCATCATTTTGACTATCTAACACCCATTCGCAATAGAGCAATTTTTACTGTTCAAGATAAATAAACAGATCATCAAATGATCAAGAATTAATCACGGTAGTAAACGAATGGCTGTGTTGAGATGACCAAAATAGAAACCAAAATTTCACAGACAGTAACAAACTTAAAATCACCTGTACCGATAGATCAATGACCGGCTGGGTTGAGTGAACTGTTTAAGAAAATGGGGCTCATAAGAAGCGTTTTCGCAAAGTCTCCACTTTTTGGGTGGGCCATCATGGAGCCAAAGATGCGGAGGTAGTCTAGTAGACTGGCCTCAGTTTGGGACTAGTTAAGGTTAACTCCTGCTCAAAATGCTGATGGCATTAACCCAACAGTGAATCATCCACTTCAGTATTCCAACAGCGCATGCCCAAAATGAATTGTGTCGGAAGTCATTCATTCTTGTTTACTGTCATTCGGACATGCATGCATGATCCACTGCACTATAGGCCTGATTGTTTCATGTACGGATTTGAATCTCAAGCAGTGATCCCGGAACTGGTTGTCTCTATCCAAACAGGCAGTTTCTGGGGTCAGTGAACCAGCATCTGAGAGCTGATCTCAGTCGGGATCCGTGTTAAACAAAGAGGTTCTAGGCCTATATCAACTAGGCCCTGCGCGAACTCGCACCAAGTGCTTAGTTCCCAAATGACCTTGCTTTTTATGAAATACTGAACTGGCTCATTTTTCGGATATCATGAGTAGGGCCTATTTCATTTGGGCTGGAGTTGGAGCTCCAGCTGAACACACAAACATGGCAAACATTAAATAATTATTATATAAATGATGTTTTAACACGGCACAAACTTGAGTTCAATTTCCAATTTCATACCAAGCGGGGGTGTTTTCGATTTTGTGTTCTTGATCAGCTCAGACACCTTCTCCCAATTACATTCAACACGATACTTCTCAATTTCGGTCTCAAGACGAGCTGCCGCCTTCTTAGAAACAGCCATTTTCCGGCAAAATCCTGTTCTACATAGTTCACAAAATTAAAAATCATGGAATGAAGGCTGTGATGAAATTGCGCCCTCCTGTGACAAATCTGCGTAAATTGTTCAACGAATTTGTTTTAGCGCCCTCACACGTACCACGTGGTCCAGTCTTTCTCTCTTTCACCGCCGCCATTTTCGTCGGAAGGGTGAGCTTTTACGCTTAGAGAAAGTATCTGATTTTACTTGTGTTTCTCAGTCTGTATCAGTTATTTAAGTTTTTAATATGTTGTCCTTTTATCAATCTTTCGTTTAGGTGGCATTTCACTGCAAACATGCAGATCTTTGTGAAGACTCTGACGGGTAAAACCATCACTCTCGAGGCAAGTAGGCCTATACTATTTAACATGTTTAACTTCATCATGAATTTGCAACGTACACATATGCATGGTGATATGTACCAGCTAACGTCGGTCATGCTATGTAGCGTCGACACACACCAGTACTGAAGTAGCATCAACAAAGCGTCACCAACTTAAGAATACCCTCTACAGATATAAAAGTGGTTTTATTATATTTTCGAGACTCTGACAATTCTATAAGAAAAACATCAAATTTGCTTCCAGATTCTCGCAGTTGCAGGAAAACGACAATTTTTTGTGATGTATGGGGGCCTCCATCTTTCTTTCCTCTGCCATCCACGCATAAACAAGATGGCAGCCAGTCGGACTGCACAAACAGGCCCGACTTTGTCACTCAAATTTCAACACTCAAATACCATTTCAGATTTTTATTGAATTTGATATGTGGGATCCTAATAACATTTTAGGCCTAGGCCTATATTAAAACTTTTTCCATAAATATGCTTGAATGACTTGTTGACGCTAAATTACATGACCCTTTAATGCTTTTCGACGCAGTGTTTGTTGACACTTGTTGATGCTAAATAGTCTGACTGGCTAACATTAGTTTATGAGTCTAGTCTCCCTTCTATTATAGGAACGGGGTCTCCAGATATACAATCCCCTGACATGGGTGATAAACCAAACATTAAACCTGGCCTAGGCCTGCTTGCATGACTTGCAGAACTCCAAGTAATTACACTGTTTGATGTGGAGGGCCATTGAATTTTTAATGGTTGGTAATGCTACATGTATGAGTTATGAGTGCAGCCCTGTTACGTCAAATCGGGGCACATTTTCGTTGTAAAAGAAGCCACTTTCTCAATCATGTCAATAAACTCTTCTTTAAAAAAGCCATCAAAACTGCTGCATATCTACATGTATTTAACTCCTATGACCTATGGTCAGACGGTAGGAAAGTCAAGGAATTTTTAAATTTTGTTGTTGTGTTTTTGAAGTGATTTTGGAGAGGAAGGCATAAGAAACATTGCAATGTAAGTTTGGATACAATTTGGACTCCGTAAAGCAAAGAAAACTTGATTTGATTTTTATGCAGGGATGTGTTGAGATATTTTCAGATTTTTTTTGTACATGTGTAATGCAGAGGAAACTGATCATTTTGTACACAAAAATGACTGTGGATTTTCAGTGAAAAGCTTAGAATACATATTTTTGTAAAATCTCATTTGTGCATTATTTCAATGACTTAACTGCTGTCTTCACTATAAATAGCAGAAATGTTGGAAATTAAACAAAGGAGGTACATGTACAGTGTGGGGAAAAAGACAATTTTTTGGTCACAATTTTTGATTCAGAAAATGAGATCCCAAATGAACAGTGCCTCCACTCACTCCTGCGTGTCCCTTCCTGTGGGTTCAGGACCATGCAACCGACTTTCTTTAAAACTTGGAGCTTTTACTCACCACTCTCTCATGCTCCTGATGACACTTCACGTACATCTCACACTTCGCGTGGTGTATTTTGGAAGGGCAGGTTATTCTGCAATCACTCCTCAGTGTGTGTTCCTTGATATTCGCAATCATGTCTTGGCTGAAAACAGAAGAAATGTCACCAGATTCTGCTGATGCCGAGTTAGCAGCTATTATTTTTATCTTGTTGAAAGTAAACTGACAACATTTTGGACATGGAACTAGAGAGATGTAAATTTTCATGAAAAATGTGAAGTGTTGTGAAATGTGACCAGAACATGCTTTTTACTGCCACAGAAATTGTGCACAAGAAGATGACTGTGAAATGTATGTTCTTTGCAATTTATTTTCTGATTTCCCAAAATGACATTAGCAATTGGTAGATCCATTTTTGCAGATCAAGATCAGGAGACCTAAAAAACAAGCCTGCTACTTGAACTTGGCAAAAAAATAATATTCACATAAATTACCACAACTTTTCTGAGCTACCACATCAGGCTACTTCCAGACCAGGTTTTACAAGTACAAGTACAATAGTTAAACTTGCAGAAAGGCCTACAGAAAGTTTCTGTGGATTGTGGAAAGAAATTTTAGATATGGTTTGCAGTTCCTCACCCACTTGTCACAAATTTTTGACCCAAATGTTTCTCATTAGTGGTCTACATGAGGCCAGAAACCTAGGAAGGTGGTTAGAAATTCCTAGAGAGCATCGTACTATTGCAGGAAGAGTTTCTCGAAATTTCTCTGACATTTCACCAATTCCACTCTGCATGAGTGTACTCAAATTGTTAACTCCACCGTCTTGCACGTCATGTGTGCTTGTGAAAAGGACAAAAAAATTGATGACCCCTGAGCAACTCTGTGAAATATGGAGCACCTAGTCCCACTGAAAACACCCTGTCGTTCCCCCCTCCTAGGTCGAACCCAGCGACACTATCGAGAATGTTAAGGCCAAGATCCAGGACAAGGAAGGCATTCCGCCCGACCAGCAGCGGCTGATCTTTGCCGGCAAGCAGCTGGAGGACGGTCGCACCCTGTCTGACTACAACATCCAGAAGGAGTCCACCCTGCACCTGGTGCTGAGGCTGCGGGGCGGGGCCAAGAAACGCAAGAAGAAGACCTACACCACGCCCAAGAAGATCAAGCACAAGAAGAAGAAGGTCAAGCTGGCCGTGCTCAAATACTACAAAGTGAGTGGGAGGGGGAGACTGCCGCAGAAAGGCATCAGACAGTAGAACTTTTCTACGTCACTCTCGAGGCCAGTTCATTCATGGGTGTGAAAGTGATCACGGACAGGATTGTGTGACATCAGATCATATTTGGGCTGGGAATTAGCAGAAATTGAACACATCTCAAATGAGATAAAATTACACTGGAAACATTTTATGACATCAAATTCACTTCACTTTTGTATTTGCTGGAAGTATAAACCGGCCTCGAAAGGAGGCTCTCACTGACTCGTGACCTAATGCACAGCTGCCATTATCGTAGGTAAAGACTGTGGCACAATATGCGGTATTTACATAGTAGGCTAGCTTGCCTTTGAAGCTTGTAAATGGCAAATACAGTAAACTCCGTGTAAGTCGGTACTCTCAGGATTTAAGAAACTATGACGACTAACGCAAATGCCAACTTGTGCTGTAAGTTGTCATTTTGCTGACTTGGACGTACACATGTATTGCCTTTGTACACTACGATTCCTTGCACTAATTCAATGGCTTTGATTTACCCTGGTTTATTTCTACCTCCGTGCTCGATCCCAACAAATACGTTCTCAATTATTATCCTCACGGGCTGCAAATTCCACAATTGATCATGGGCCCCTAAGGACGAAGCAAGGACGGCAAGCCACTTGCATATCACATCACGACTCGACAGTGCAGTACGTACATGTACGTGATACAGTTACGGTACAGAAAACATACACTCATCCACACACCCGCATTGGTTAAGTTTGCTCAATAACGCAACCCCAATAATGGACGGAGCGCATGTGTGTAGCACTAGAGGGGTTACTGGTATTGATGTACTCATGCTGGCCGGGCCAATTATCAACCACGGCCTGTGCTGCTAATAAACAGACATCAGTCAAGTGTGGGACTTGTCACTTGACACTTCTTGGCAACTGCGGCGAAGGAAATTGATACCGAAGCACTTTTTTTTTAAGCCGACTCACACAAAGGAACTTTTGTGGTTTTGTGGAAAAGGGACCGAGAAAAACATGCCGACTTGTATGAAATGACGACTTATAAATGCCGAAATGAAATTTTCAATGGAAATGCATTACAGACGATTGGGACTTTTATCAAAAGGCCGACTTAGACGATATGACGTTAGGTGATACCGGCTTAGTCGAAGTTTACTTTATTCAGTGCCAGCACCCATTACTTGATTGGAATGATGACAACGAACTCGGGTGGCACAAATGGAGATCAGTCCATTTCATTAAGAATTCACGGTTAAAACAGGTGAAAATGAGCCATACTGTTTGCAGCGTATGGATACCAAGAAAATGTTTGTTTCTAGGAATGTTTGCCAATCTCAGTGAAAACCGTGCAGTCATGCAGTACTTTGATGTCTTAGGCCGACCCTATACAAATTTTCTTTGACCTGTCACATTTGACCCCCCAGATCCATGGAATCTACCAGGGCATTTTTGAGATTTTGCAGGATTTAGGACTGTAAAAGCACAAGCATGACAACTGCTGTTACATAAAGTTTGATGTCTTGAAAAATATAGTTTAAATATTGTGGTGGTTTCCTCCATGATGCAGAATGGTTTTGGAGGTTTCAGAAATATCCTTTTTAAAAGCACTGCAGTAGTTAGGGTCAATCCCACAAATTCTTCATGTTGAAGAAACATTCTGTGAACTCATTGTATTTATTCATCATGTCGTCCCCAGGTTGATGCGAACGGCAAGATCACTCGTCTGCGCCGCGAATGCCCCAGCGAGGAGTGCGGTGCTGGCGTCTTCATGGCCTCCCACTTTGACCGGCAGTACTGCGGCAAGTGTTGCCTGACGTACGTCTTCAAGGACAAATAGATTTTATAAAATGACCTAGTTATTCATGCAGCAATGCACTCACTGACAACCGCCATCTGTGCGTCGGTGTTAAACCAGTGCCCCACTAGTAATGAGCACCCATTCTAAACTAGATTTGGCATCCATTCACCAAGGATTTACTCGGTAATCTACTTTACAAAACAAACCTCAACCTAATTAAACCACTGCATAAAGTAAAATGAAATCAAATCAGTTTATCATGGCAAGACCAGTCTGTATCTAAGGCCGTGTCCGAAACGGGCTTCTAGAGCTACGGCTAGGTCTGTTGTCTGCACGTCTCCACACATTTCCAATGGAGCGAAGACCTAGACCTAGCTCTAGACAAGATATTCGGATGCAGCCTAACACTTACGGTTTGTGAGGATTGGAAATAAAACTGACACAAGCTTGTGTCAAGTCCTTCTTGTAAAAGGAATGTGGTTTGTAGTTATTTTAAAGTGGTTTCTACCCAACAAATAACCCAAAAAGAACACTGCATAACTCTCCATTGCAGATTTGAGAAAATAGTTCAACTTTTTCATAACACAGTAACAGATAAAAGCGTTTAAAAAACTCAAAGGCTTTAGAAAACGAAAGACTTGATGGTAAAGACGTCAGACTCCAGACGCAACCAAAATCCGAATGCCCCGTTTTCCTCACTGCTGCAAACAAAACCATGAATATGACAAATTTCAATGACGTGTTTTTATAAATAATATTCAATTTAATTCGAGATATTACAAATGCTACAACCAATCGTATTTCCTTAAAATGAACATTGCACTGATAGCGCATTGACCTTGTCTTCAGAAAATGTTGAAAAGGTTCACTGGTTGAAAAATTAATGTTCCAAATTAATGTTCTGAAGTTACACAACGACACCATCTCCTGCATGGCCAAGCAGGTGAAACGTAGTCCAACCTGGCTCATTGCGCTTCAATATGTGAACAACGCATGGCACTGATAATTCTACAATACACCTGTAACCATTCCTGGTTGCATTATGTGAACATCTGTAGACTGTGAATGAGAGGCATTTCTCAGTTACAGAAGCCCGGAGTATGTATTATACAAACTCTGTCCAATTTCATAGCACTGCGTAATAGCCGATTTTGAGGTGTAGCAAAGCCTGGGTCTATTCCAGGGAGACCATTTACCAGTAAGCACTAGCAAATCATGATTGATTGACTCCGAAGGAAAACAGTTACTTAAGTGATGCCACAGAACAAACTATCCATGCATGCTTACGTCTTGCGATATCCACACCAAGAAATGGCACCATAAAGAGCAGCAATATTTTCTGTTACAGTAAGGACAACTTATGCTCTATCATGCAGTGCTGTGAAGTTGGGTTCTAGCTAGTTCGTGTACTGTGTCGTGCAAAGCGTTTCGCTGTGAGGCAAATTCGGACAGTTTTCCAATAATGTTTTTGATTTGCCAAATGACTGTCATACGTGTGAGGATCCCTAAATTATGGAACACGTAATGACTTACTACAAGCACGGTTTAACCTCAGTGAGTGGCTCATGGTCTCAAGAAATTCTTCCGATGGACTGGATCTCAAATCTAATTCACAGGAACTCAAATTCTATCAGAGTAGCCAGAAATAACGGGCATTAAAATTTTTTTTTGGGGGGGGGGAGAAATTGGAGGAGGCCTAAACCCTCGCCCCTTCTTCAAAACCCTAACTGCCAGTCGATGGTTTGTTGTATGTGTCTGATATCATAGCAGATGATTGTATCACCGGCGTGGAACTCAACTTGTTGCTGGAACCTTACACCACACTCCATGCCCTTCTGAACTGTGTTGACATCATCTTTAAGATGCTTGAGAGATGCCAGTGAACCTGTGATAAAGACAGCATACGGACAATGTGTGGGGAAAACATCTCTCTGCCTCACAATGAACTAAGAGGTCCACAGTTCAATTTGTTTTGCACATCCCTAAGGACCAGCTGCTGATTGAAGCACTAACTGTGATTCTGGGTTATGGATGACATCTTGGATGCTTGTTCAAACCATGTTCTTTATCCTTATCCAAATTGTCATTTTAGTAAAAAAAAAATAAATACATGGATTATATCCAGCAAGAAATGAGACCGAGGGGTACCCACCAACATGTCCAATCGCTATACACACTCTGGACTATTGTTACCTAACACATCCCCTCTAGATGTCTGAAAAGAATTCCTCATTTTCCAGTGAAACAATGACCAACACAAAGCAGGGGGGTATCTCCGTCTCATATCTTGCATCACATGTCTCTCTGTGTTAAAATTACCAAGGTGAATATTGAACAAAACTTGGCCCAGTTAAGTCAGGCCCATCATTCTCTTCCCATCTAATCCCATCCCTACCCATTCCATTCCAACCTACATCTTATCTCATATCCCATCTCATACCCCACCCTGTATCATATCTTCCCCGTCCTATGCCAGCTCAGAAAATGCACCTCCGCCATGCCCAAGCCCGGTCCGCCCAAGAACCAAACCTCCAGATCTTGTTTTTCAAAGCTTGAACCAAAAAAAATGTTTGTATTACCTTGATGTATTACGTCATCATTCCGTAGTAGTTTAAACATCTTGTTTGCATGCAATGAGCCTTGGTTTACTCGGCAACCTGCAACAGCCACCTTGCGCCTGCCGACTGAGATGTTGAAATTCTGGATTACTGTGGCTTCGCCTGATGAACAAGAATTTTTGACGAGGTGAAAACAAATACAAAAATAATTATACAAATAAACCACTTTGGGAAAAAAAACTTCAGCTCAATTCAATAAATGTTCAGTTTAACACAGAAATACTAAGGTAGGCTTCAGATCTGTGATTTTTTCATGATGTCATAATCAGCACATCTCTACTGTTGCGTCAAGCAGAAAATGGCAGCACAGTCAGTGAATAGTAATATGCATGTGTAAATGTAATGCAAGGGTCTGAGATGTCACGAAACTGTTGAGGTAGACAGAGTCTAGATTGTGTCGCTTGGCTGTCACAGTGCCCTTCATGCCATACAACGATGAGTCGATAAAACCTTGGTTGCCGGAATGAGTCTACATACCTTGGATGTCATGCTCCTCCTTGGGTGGGAGTTTGCTGCTGAGTTCATCCTTGATGTCATCTAACATCCTATAGATCACTGAGTGCATCTTCATCGGGACTCCTCTATCTCCGGCTAAGGCCTCAGCCTCTGGAGATGCTGTGACATTGAATCCTATCACTATACCTGCAAGGGAAAATGCCAGACAGAACTTTGAGAAATGTTTTCAGAAAAATTACTTGAACAGAGTTTTGTGCATGAGCACTGCTGACAAAGAAATTTAGCATGGTAAGGCGCACAGGGTGTGAACCATGATGCAAGATACAGAATTTATAAAATACCAGTCTGTCTTCTGAGTGTGAGTTACAACTCTACTCATAAGCGAGTTGCACCCTTTAAAGTTTAGCTTCAGATGTCATCACTCACACTTGAAAAATATTCCTCCATCTGACTTTTGAGTTCAACAAGGGAAACCTTTCTGCCTCGTTATTTTAGTTTCTAGAGAATGAATCTCACCCGAGAATGTGTCTGCCAGCTCCACATCTTTGTCTGAAATAATTCCTACACCGTAGCTCAGCACCTCCAGCTTGCATTGCTGTTGGCTATCGTATGTTGCTAAGGCATCCAAGATGGCCTCCACGGAGCCATCTACATCACCTGTTACCAAAGGTTTAGTTCCAGTGAATGAAGTCCAATGTGATTGTAGTCATTAGCATTCCAGACTATCATCCACAAATAAGAACTTCTCCAATGCACGCCCAATGAGGAAAAAAAGGTTTTCCAACTTGCCATGAGATCAGCCCTTTTAAGAGTACCCACTGTACTGCATCTCACGTTTATGATCATTATTTTCCCTGTGACTAACTGACCTTTGATGACCAGGTTGACCTCGGGGTTATCGCTCTTGATGTTCTCCTTAGGCCGTGCCAACCTCTCTGCTGCCCTCTGTGCCCGCAGCACCTTCCAGTGCAGCAGGCTGTTGGCCTGCTTGCGCTCTTTATATGCCCGCTGGTGTTCGGCCGCCCTCCCCCTGATTATGACGGACTCTACTTCTAGCTTCTTGGACTTTGCTGTCTCCTCTCGCCACCTGACAACCTCCTTGGCCCTTTTCTGTCAAACGATTCCTCCAAAAAGTTAGCACAGAGTAATTGCAGGTTAACCTGAAAACATTCATGGAATAATGAGCTTTTTTTGTGATATTCTTCATTCATAAACTTAAGTAAGTTTTGAATGTGGTAAATGATAAGGTTCTTTAACACATAACACAGACAGAATTTAGTTTATTCCATTTTAAGTACTGTAATTTTATCTAAATTTAATATTTTCAACTCTTGCCACATTTTAATCTACACACTTTCAACTTCACGCTTTTGAGTTCACATTGAAAACTAACTGAAGCCATTCCCACTGTTTAACATTTTTACTATACCCATGTATTTAGGACCCTTGCTTTGTTTCATTCTTGTATACAGAACGTGCATTTTGATATCTTTCATATTAAAGCCAGTTTAAGAGCTGAAATCTCTTGACAGCAGCCCAATTCCTTTACATAACTTTGTTTCTGATCGTTTCCTTTTTAGCTATGTCCGGTCTTTTATCAGAAAGAAGATAATGCAATATGCAATATACATATGAAAATATGAAACTATATTTTGTAGCCATAAATATGGAAGGAAAGGTAATAAAACAATAAAAAAATTCTGAAAAAAAATTCTTTAGAAAAGGCACTGGCAAACTTGTTCACCCATTTCTCAATTAAATGTTTAGTCCAGAACTCCAGTGAGCCCAGCGGCAAGCTGTTTCCCCCCGAATGCAAAAACCCAGCTGATACCTCCGACTCCACCTCTAGTATCAGGTCTCCAGCACTGGGCACCTTCTTCCAGCCAATCACCTCCACCGGTATCCCTGGCTCCGCCTTCTGCACCTGCTGTCCCCTCTCGTTAAACATGGCGCGCACTCTGCACTGGGCCGTCCCGCTGACCAGAATGCAGCCTCTCTTCAGTGTGCCTCGCTGGATGATGGCTGTGGCTATGGGACTGACGAGAGAAGGAGAGATAAAATATTAGGAGACACAAGTGGACAACTAAATTGACAACTTTAGCCAGTTGTCCGTATAAACCTTTTTATCAGCACATTGTTACAATTAAAGATCCTTAGTTTCAAGCAAGCTGATCACAGGAATAGACCCTGTACCTTCCTATGGTGCTCAGCAGACAGTGACCCCTCACTGGCTCCATGTAGACAAGTGCACGTCATCAGGACACAGGCTTATATCATACAAGTTCTTTGCTGCATATTTCAATGTGGATTATCAGCCTTGTGTGACCAAGAGCTAGGCCAACCATTACTGACTGGATGGAGGTTTGATGAGCTGAGACGAACCACTGTTTTACTAAACTTTATCTCAGAATATTGCTTGCAGATCCAGCATTATCATCCTGAATGGGCTTAAATCTGCATTTTTTAGCAAACCCTGGAAATGCCTACCCCTTTCCTTTGTCGACCCGCGACTCAATGACCGTAGCCTCCACCAGCCCATTTGGATCTCCTCCTAATTCCATCAGCTCGGCCAAAACCACAACGCTTTCACTCAAGGCATTCAGGTTGGTTCCCTGCCACAAGATAACAACATCTCTCATGATGTGTAAAAACCAGCATAACTTTCACATGGAGACAGACTTCCCTCTAGTTTCCTCTTACAACAGGTACATTACCCAAGTCGGTAATTGGCAATTCGTTCGCCCACATTGAAGTTTTATGGGGAAAATTGTGACTTTGTCGGTAGTATGAACAATGATCAAAATATCAGCACACCTGGTATTCAACACGGGATTTTGACTCAGTAAAGTTGATCTCTGTGCTGAAGTGGAGCTCATGAACCCTTCCTGTGAGTTGGTAAAATAACAAAACTTTCTCAAGCTGCCAATTGTGGGTTTTCATTGAGTAACAAGTGACTTCTGTCTTGTAAAAAATCAAGGAAAAAGCCACAGTGAATCATCTCCCATATCTAAATTCAGAAAAAAATTGGGAAAAGATGTATGTAAGTCTGAAAACACAAACTGAAACTCAAGTGGCCATGGCAACACATGAGGCTCAACAAACCAGAACTGGCACTTGAAATTTCCCACTTTTGTTGGTTTTAGGGTGGTGAAATCAATATATGGTCAACCTTGAGTGCTGATATCTCTACAGCCTGCACATCTCCGCCAAACTCCTCCAACTGAATGCCATGGCCTAAGAGATCTCGCTTGGTAAAGTCCTGAGAGAGAACAGAGGAAGAACAGTTCATCCCAACCATGTAATTCATTTCTTGCGAACATTCTTTACCGCAATTCCACGCATAAAGCAGATTTCCACAAATCAAATGTCTTGAGTGGGCTTTGTTAATACAGGTACTCTTATAATATAATGGTTTGAGATTTGTTGATCTGTACATTCTTGTGGTCCAGGTTGACGTGGAAGGAAATGCTGTATGCCAGCGTCTGCCTAAAATTTCAATGGAGTGAGGAAGATACCACATTGAGAAAATGCACCTTTTGGCTGAGAAAAATAAAACGGTTGATGTGGCATTTGAAAAAAAAATGTTTTCTGTACTCACGGGATCAGCTCCAGGCTTGTCACACTTGTTGACAGCCACAATGATAGGAACTACAGAGGAACAAAAAGACATGCTATCGATGTTTGACTTTTGAAACAATTTGTGTCACATGCGATTGGCATTTACACCACAGGCCGGTGGCATAAGTCTTGTCTTTGATTCAAAATATTTCACCAAGTTCATGTCAGGGAGCGAGCCCGGTACTAGAGAAGTTGGCCGTATATGCATAGCCAGGGTGCTCAAAATTGGCACAAAGGAACTGGGCCTTGTAACAAAAGACCAAATTCGGGAATAAAAGACCGAGCTGCTGGGAATTGCTAATCAATTTTCATATGCTGTCAGCACAGAGTGTTAGCATTAGCGGAGGTAATCCGTCATTGTTAAAAACAGTATACCACTATATGTGGCATTCAGCACCTGCTGATTATCAGTGTGGACGAAAGCACTCCAGCGATGAGCGATACAATACCACTGCACGCTAATCTGGCCACATTTACAAAGCCACCACTGCCATTCGGCAACGCACTGGGCCAATTTCGGGAACAAAGGAAATTATGCAATACCACACAATGAGGGCTCTCTTTACTGGGCGGCAGGCCTGGCTGCAATACTCAGGCGTCAATGGAGGTTGCCTGTCAGATTAGAGTAGCCACCAGACAGTCACTTGTGTGGGCGTAAGTGTCCAGTAAATGAAGATATGAATTTTTGAAGAATTTTGAAAACAGAAAAATCATGAAAAATCACCTGGCAATGCATCCTGCATGTGCAAACTCCACCTGGCCGGAAGTGGTTAAAATCTTAAATCCCAAAAAATTGGCCTCGACCTTTATCTGTGAGTATTTTTTACTTTTCAGAATTCGGCCTTTGTGCTCATTATGCAAATTTAAACTCCTACTCGGTGAACACAGGCATCACTTAGGACACCAAATCGCAGAACTGTGTGCCCACATCTTACAGAGAACATTTATGGTGTCCAAGTCTATTTAAATTCGAGGTTGCCCTCCCCATAGTTCCCAGCAATCAACTCAGCCTTTTTGACCAAAATGGCCACCTCACACTGAAACAAAAGTAAAAGGTGGAAAATGTAAAAAAACTGAAAATAAGAGTTTGTAAAATACTCCGCTTTAGGATTGGTCCTAAAGCAGGCCACACAATGTAAGACTGATGTAGTTTACAGAACACAAGTGAGAGCAATTAATCAACCAGAGAAGTAGTATATTCTAATAGAGACGAACGGTCAGCAATGGTCGCCTTTGCCACGTGTATCTTGATTTTACTTTTTGGGGGGGAACCCCGGGGGCATGATTCAGTTTGTTTCAACCCTAACCTCCGGCATTCTGGGCGTATTTGATGGACTCCCTGGTCTGGTCCATGACGCCGTCATCGGCAGCAACCACTAAGATGACAATGTCAGTCACGTTGGCCCCCCTCTCACGCATGGATGAGAATGCCGCGTGGCCTGGGGTGTCCAGAAAGGTGATCTGTTGACCCATCGGAAGAGGAACTGTATGCAGCAAGTGCAGAAAAAAGTAAAACGTTTCCTCTGGAGGTTCTAATAGTTTTCCCCTTTCTAACCTGTTTACCTCTAAAAGACCCAGGGGGAGGTGGAATCTGTTCCCATAGTTTCTCCAATATCTTCCATGCTCTTTTTTCATGCTGACAGCTGAGCCTTAAGAAAATTTCCTGTAACATCTCATTTTGATTTGATCATCACTTTTAAGAATGTCACATCCATTGTTCTTGAGCACTGCAAATTTCTACGAGAGAGGTCAGCCAAAAAATGTAACTATTCCTACTGAATATGTGCTAAATGTACGTGGGCCAATGCACAAGAGAGCATGAAATATGAATGACCATGGCGAGGAACTCAAGAAGCATGATGGATGAATTGAAACTTCACAGTTGTAGTAATAACGAAATAGACTATGCTCGTTACCATCTCTTCCTCTAGATTCTATGCACAAGATGCAATATTCGCAATGACATTGCAAGGCATTGGTGTTATGCACACAGACACTTTAGCACCGTGTGCAATTTTTAAAAAAAAGGAGTCAGGTAGGTGCAGGGGGTAGGGTGGTAGTATGGAGAGAGTTGCGACATGAGTGTCACCACTGTTGGGAAACAAACTGGCAGGTGTATGCACCAGTGCAAACAGACAGTTGGTATACAACAGCTGCATGCTCTATATTACGCATCATAAACAGCCATTTTGTTTCCAAAATCTGAAGCTGGCACTTGGGTGGTACTGCTCTTGCCTTCAATCTCTGTGAACCAGGTTCCAATCCTGCTTGGGTCACTCCGTGGAATGGGTTCTGTGTCTCAACCTGATTCCAAGGGAATTGGTATATTGGTCTAGGGTTACTCTCTAAAGATGGACACTTCGTCGTTGTCTTCTCTTGATAGATTTTTTCAAGCTGGCAAGCACAGTGAGATAACATCCCCATTCATACGATGGTTCTGTATTACTGATTATCTTTGTACTGCACATATGACACTGTCTTACTGAGATACATGTAATACTGAGTTTCAAACATTGCACATGTGAGCACGTACATTTGAACATGCCAATAGAAGAAAACGTTTGAGGAATTATGCGGTTTCACTGCTAGATATAACGATTCATCTACACTGTGCATTATTTGGGTGCAAGGGAGAATAGATTTGTGCTATTCGGCCATTTTTCTCAGTCCACATCCACAGAGAAAAAAAAGCAATGCAAGAGATATTTCCATAAGTATCTCCAATTCTTGCTTTCTCTCCTTGGGGAAACGAGCTGCTAAAGTTGAATTTAGGCCACAACTTCGTTTATTTATTTATTAATAGATGTTCATCCAACAGCAGATTTAGTGTCAATTTACAGGGTGAAGTGACATTTAAGATGACAATGAAGAAATGTTCAATTTCAGAGGTGGGAGGGAAAACCCCAGATGAAAATTCCAGGGAAACGGAATCAGGCAGGGACTGAAAACCCAATCCACAAGCTGAGCTGGGTGGGATTTGAACCCGGGTCGCAGAGGTGGAAAGCAAGGAAAGAGCCACTACGCCAACCTGACCCCCCTTAAACTTGGACTAACCGAGAAAGGCACCGATGTGCTGGGTGATGCCACCTGCTTCCCCTGCGGCTACGGAGGTCTTGCGGAGGGAGTCCAGTAGAGTGGTCTTCCCATGATCCACATGACCCATAACCGTGACGACCGGAGGCCGTGGCTTCAGCTGGGATGGATCAGGAGGCGGTCTAATGATAAAATAAAAATATGGTTAAGTGGTCTGAAGTTTGTAAAGGAAGAGAAACTACTCCTTTATTTATCCTTGAATACTCTGATCAGTATTCTGTCTTGAAAGTATTTTACTCTATCCTCAAATAGTCAAAAGGAAATGGAACGGTCATTTTGATGGAGATTTAGAGAGAATACAGAATACCTTTGGTTTTTAAAGTGTATGTGCAGTACCAGTGATTGGGCAAATGAACTATAAGGTGCCATTTGGACCACCTGGCAATTAATACACTGTAAATTTTTTCCTTATAGGCGATAGATAATAAGGCCTTTGGAACTGAACGGAGAAACTGACAAGGGATGAGAAATGTCATGCCAAAGCTGAAATTAAGATAACATCCGTCCATTCTTTAGAACCAGCAAAGCATCCTCACCTTCTTACAGTGTCTTTGTTCTCTTTGGCATCGTCTTTGTGCAAGGAGGCAAAGCGGTATGTCATTCCCAACAATTTCAGCACTTCTTTTATCGTTTCCAACTTCAGCACTGCAAATAAATGAAAGTTTACCTCATCGTATCTTTATTCCATTTCTTTACCCAGGGTATGCCCAGTTAAATACTGGTTTCCATTGGGGCCCTGCAATACATTACAGATCATTTAACAGTATGAAGTAAGAAATCAATGTCATAAGGAAAAGTACATTGGTAAAGCATACAACAAACATAAATATTACCAAATACAAGTACATGTATATCTTACAGTTAAAAATAGTGCCAATCGCGTTTGGTTTGAAAAGGGTTTGGTTTGACCAACAATGGCTGGGAAATCTTTTGAGTCACTTTTGCAAAAAGAAACACCTGCAGTCAAAAGCTGAACATAATATTTGAAATTGACAAATCTGTTGGAGAATTTGACTGTTTCAGATATGTACCACGCATTTTCTTCTGGACATAGAAACAAACTTGAACACTGAGACTTTTTTGGGGGAAGCATTGCCATCATTCTGTAAGACCGATATCAACCCTGGTAAAAGGTTGACGAATTTTGTGATGGTCTAATTACCTGTTGTTGGTTTTAGATCATCAACATCTGTTTTCATTAATAAACATTCGTAAACACCATCTGTGAAGAATGAAAAAGACAGTTATAACAAACTGTAAATTTTACACGACTGAGTAAATGTAATCTGCGGAAGGAAAAAAAGGAATTTTAAATATATATGTATCCTATCTGGAAATATTTTGAAAAGAATGAACCAATCAACATTGCCCTCTTTGAGGCCCGCTGATTGTCTTATGACATCTTTATCAGTCTGTGTGGTCCAAACAAACTCAGTGGTTGCACTACAAAATGACATTCATATGTATAACTGCACATGGCCTAGACATACCGGTACATGACAAATACTGACAAATTAGCTTACGAATTAGGTTTAATATCAAAATAATACGAACAAAATAGTTTTTTAGAATTAATTTGACATGATATGCAAACATACTTCACTTTCAAGATTAAATACTGGATGAAGCAGCATAGACCCATCGAATGATCTTGATCATGTCAGTAGGAATCTTTCAAAAGTTGAATATTGAAAAAAAATTCACACTTGAGAGAATTGGAAGAAACACATTTTTGGGAAATTGTTACAAATTTCAATGAACTTCTTTGGTATTTTTGCCAATAAAGGCAAATGATATTCACCATGATTGAACCTAGCAGTACATTACTGTACATGCAGTTTTCCTTAAAATTTCAAGAGTATCATCAATCTAGCAAAATCCTCCAAAAACTCGTAGTAGATTTGGAGGAATCTGAAGGGAGGAGAACTACATGCAGAGCTAATAAGAGAACTATTCAATAACAAACAGAACTGTGAGTGCTTTGATTCCCCTCACCTAAGTCCATATCCAATGCAATGGAAAGCTCCAGAATGCTCATTTTCTCATGGATTTCAATCACTTTCTTCTCTTTCTTCTCCTTCTTGCGTCTTTCTAGTTTTTCCAGCTTGCGTTCAAGCTTTCTCTGGGACGTTTCCCTAGAGTACCTTCGAACTGGTTCACCCTGGATACAACTGGTCACACTCTGCCAGTCAGAGCTGGCAAGGGGAATCAGGTTTCTATCATGACAATAGCGAAGATTCGACCGACAATATTTCTCTGCACGAGCAAAATGTCTCTGGGGCATTTGCGATGGGAGACAGCATCCGATGAGTCGCCGTGATCGTACGCACAGTGTGGGGGCTGAAAATGAAGTCCTTGACCAGAGCGCACAAATTGCGGCTTGCTTCATTAAAAGCAGAGGCCGGTTCTGCATCACTGCCTCCATTTTTATAATCATGCATCACATAACCTGCCAAAAATGAAAAGCAATTTCACAATAAGCCTGAAAATAATTCAGTCATTTGTACAAACTTTAGCGTACAACACAAATAATTCCATATTGAACCATCTCACTTTTTGGGAGTCCAAAAAACCAACCAGTAAACCAAATTTTTTCAACTTGAGTCCTCCATGTACTAAACTGAGTAAAACCTCTGTCCTTGTAAAAACCCTCCTAATAGATGGAACTTGTTAAAGTTCTCCTTTCCACTGTGCTCATCTGACTCTGAATTTTACAAGAAATGGAGCTAGCTGTAATTTATTGTTGTAAATTTCAGAGTCAAATGAGCACAATGGAAAGGAGACCTCAACAGGAAATTACGAGAAAGTGTAACTTTAATGTATTGTTTAGCCTGAACTGCATACAATATTTATGGACTTCTTTCAAAATCCAAGGTCGGCCAGACATTTTTGCTCATCCTTCTGCAGAGCCCTCAGCTGGTCTGGGATTTTAGGCTAACCTGTGGCTGTAGGCTAGACTAGCTGTGGCTGCGGCTGTGCGTTTGAGCAGGAGAGCCTACTTAGTTTCACCTGAAGATCGGCAATTCCAATAACAGGTGCACATGCTCAAGACGCGATGATTCAGTGAATACACTGACCACACCAGGCTTAAACCATGTAAACCCTACTGTTCATGTACATATCCAACACACATGCATACATTCATATGTCCAGTTGGCCTACAGTATGTTTGCCATTATTAACATACATGTTCATGTATATTGAACTGTTACATTGTTGTAAGTCCCACTAATCCTTCTGGTAGAGTCAGGTTGGTGTCCTGGGGTTCTTTCGCTTCCAACTCTGCAGTTTAAGTTCAAATCCCAGCTCCTCCCACATGTGGATTGGGTTTTCAGTCCCTCCCCTGATTCCGTGGGTTTTACCAAGAATATTCCTCTGGGGTTTTCCTCCCACCTCTAAAATCTGTAACTGCTTCTCATTCTCTCCTCTCAACAGGTTTCTTTAGCCTTGTGAGCTACAATACCTGGGGCATTTGTTGAGGAATCCTTGGTGTCATTACCAGAAATAATTAATAATAGGGGTGGCAGCATGCAACCTCTTGCCAATTCCCTGAAACAGCAACTTATTTGTAGTCTGATACATATAGGTAAGAAGTAAGCATTCTGGAGAAATGAGCTCATAAAACCTACATGTAGGGAGGTCAAGTGACAAAAGTTGCCCCTGTTTCCTGTATCAGTAGTCAGGGCCCAGTATCGATGGAAAAGTATATGAAACCCCCTGTTAACAGGTTTAAAGTTTATGACCTTATAGTCGCCAGGTCCCCATGGTCCTTACTTTGCCACCTATTGTCAAGTCTAATTGGTTTTTACAGTAAGTGGTGAAATTAGAAACCTGGCTACTATAGAACCACAGGTTTATTATTAACCTTCAGAACATGTTAGAAAGCATGGAGGTAAGGTAATAACATGTTCTAGAATGTCATGTTGAAGCATTCAACAGACCAGTCTCATACTAGCCTAGGCCTAAAATATTGTCATAGCCATAGGGTTCGTGCACAAGGTGCCAAGTAGGTCCCAATGTCCCTCATTTTCGCCTATATGCAGGCATGGCAGGTGGTATGGAACTTTTTCCATTTAGGCTCTACCCCCAGGCCAGCCCAGTCATGCCAGTCTGCAGATCCAACAACAGACTGTTCTGAGGGTATTTTCCATTACTAGTTGATTAGGACGTTAATTAAACATTCAATCATGAATCAATTATGTCAATGTTGTGGGCCTAACGCTAGAATTTATTAGGCCTACACGTTAGTCATGTTCATATGATGTTGGTTATCATCATAGGCCTAGGCCTACATCATAGTTCATACATTGTTACATCATCATGGCAAAGGACCTCAGTCAGTGGTGATGGAAGAAAACACATAAAAACCTTACTAACATGACCAACTACTACTAGCCTAACTTTAGTTACTGGTAAATACATAGAAACCTTTAGTTCCCGGCAACAGTTTTCTTGCACTGAAGTTGCAGTTGCACTTACGTTACACTGTTACAGCAAGTGCAGTATCGGTACGCATCATCACGTCTAAGGAGGCCGCCATATTTGTTTGAGTAGTGGCTGTTTTCCAATACCCGGCTTCGTCCCATTTCAGCTTTGTCTCCCAATAACGACCCTCACTGTAGCCCGGTCTTACAGTGTTCAAATTAAATAGAAATACTCCAGTAGCTGGTTTTTGGTATGGAGTACACTTATTATTGAGTTAAAACTTCATATTAGCAAGCAGAATTTGCGTGAAAATGTCCAACACTGCAGGCTTTTGCCAAGTACAATGTACGTATGGCATTGGGTGTAGTGGTGTGCGTATTCGATAAAAACGCATGACGTTGGGACTTCGGCTTCGTTCATTGACCATTCGCAAAGTCTCCGAGTTACAGCTGTCTTGATAACGATTTTAATTGGCGCCAACTATTTCATCACGAAAGCCTATTCCTTATATATCATTATTATTTGTGTTATTTTGTTGGGGGGGGCATGGGTCGGCGAACATTAAATCTGAGTCCTCAAATGCTAGATATAGTTTGGAGTCTCCGCCAACCATTAATTGCCAAGTCGGTGGCGCCGCCCGGGGAGCGGGGGTGGGGGGGGGGCGTTCCGACCCCGAGGTTGTCCATTTTTCATAAGTCTTTTTTATTACTTCCTGAAGAACGAAGGTACTAATTCACCTACATTAAACAACTAGTAGTCCTGATATGGTCGTACAAGCCGGTCCTCTGTGGCGTAAATCGAGGGCGGGGTGGAGTCTTACACATCATCATCATGACCTGTGGGGAAGGGGGGGGGGTAAATTCAAATCCGAGGCCCACTCCCCGCACCCCCCCCCGACAAATCTTGGGTGCATCACTGAGTAAAGCCGAGCTTTCAGAAATAATGTCCTTGTTACAAACCCATCATGCTTGTTAGCCACAGTAACGCGAGAGTACTTTTCAAACTAGACCAGCCATTTCATCAAAACGATTTCTCTATTCACAGTTGTGACCTTTTTGAAAATAAACTAAAAATAAAATAAAGGTTTCTCAACTTCAATCTCTAAACGCAGCTGAATTTATTTGTTTATTCGTTTTATGATACAGAGCGGTCTTATCAGATTCAACTACTTTCCATAAGAGCGCTGATTTATATTACACAAACACGAATGTGAAAATACATTCATTATAAAATATTTTAAGTCAATTTTAAGCTGAAACATCTGCAGATATGAAAATTAAGAAGTATCAAGAGCAAGATATTAAAATTTTATGTCAATTTGAGCTGAAAAATATAGAAAATCTGCTTCAACACCATCACTTATACTGAGCAAATTGGTCATTTAAGTCTGTTTGCTTGGTGGCCCATTTATTCCACACCGGGGACCTATTTTTCTGGCGATGTGAGAAAATTCTCAATAAGATATGAAGGTTCCTAGTTACGTAACTGGGGTAATTTATGTCCCTCAATTATTTTGTCTAGAAGGAAAAAGCACTGCTATACAATCCTGGTCCACCCAGTGCGTGTAGCTGCGTGGAATGTTTTTCATCCTGGTCAAGCACATTTTTCTTAGAAATACATGTTAAACATCGTTGGCCTCATCATTTTCTCAACAGGAAGGGATAGATCTTTGTGTCCTCCTCTTGCGTTATCATTATTGAATCATTTTGAGTGATATTCATTTCAGTGTGCCGACAGCTAGTCCTCATCATCCTCCGCCACTGATCTCAATTTGACAAAGCCAGACCATCGGTTTCTTGCGTCGGTTGTTCGTCTACTAGCAAAAATCTACGCAGCTTAAAAGGGTATGAAGGGCTGTCATCAATAGGAATGTCGGAAAACCTCAGGTCTCTCGAACGCTGGAATAATAATAATAATAAAAGAAAAACTATGACTCTGCTCATATTTTGGGGTTTGTAGCGTATTATCCTTTATCCGATCTGTAAGTGTGACGTCGCCTTAGTTTAAACCACACCCACCGCAGGCACACAGAGCTAGTACTAGCCTTTCGTCAAGGCCTTCGTGTGTGTGTGCGCGCTTGAAGATGGGGCCTTGTGGGGTACCGGAACAATGGGAAGTACCCCACAAGGCCAGTTTTTAAAGTTGGCATGTGGGGTACCAAAATTGATACCCCACAAGAATTTCACGAAATTGGTATTGGGAAATAACTCAAAAACGGGTAAAAGATGGGTAAAAATCCGTCGCAAATTGAAGTGTTTTAAATAAGGGACATACGGTCGAAATTTCAACCAAGGAAGGGGAATTTTGTTTAAATTGGAGTGAGTTGAAATTTTTTGCGTGTTGTGTGGGAGTTTTGTACACGAGAACAAAGGAAATACCCCACAAGTATAGCTGTGTAAGGATGGGTGTGTGTGTGTGTACCTGCAAAGCGACTGGACACGAGAGCAGGCAAGTGGCGCCACTCGTGCATGTGGTCTCCCATCCAGCCGCTTTACAGTTACACAAACACAGCCGCGAAGGCCTTGACGAAAGGCTAAGGTAGTACCGGCATGGAACCGGAAGTTAATGAGAAGCAACGCGAGTGTCCCGTTTTTTTCTCCTCCAGGCCTCCAGTGAGAGCCCCGTGTGCGTGCATGACAGTCACGAACTGGAGCGTCCCGTTCTCGATCTCCTTGGTCATTGCTCGGAAGGCACGGAGCCGATACGACGTGTCATTTGCCCACTGTTTTCAATTCTTGGGTTTGGCAACTGAAGCACCCTTTTTTTCTCGGAATAATGAATTCGGAAATTAGAAGTGCTGAAGTTACTGATCCATACCAAATTCAAAGACTAATACAGACATGTGTTTTAGGTTGTGTTCTTTCAATGGTAGAATGGGGTTGTGCAATAACTTTGACATACCACTCTAAGTTTGATATGAAAAATGCAGTCAAATCTAATTGCAACATATTTTATGTCTAGATTTCTTTCAAAGGAGATAACCCCCACAAGATTTTCATTTTTGTTTCGAGTGTCATAAATGAGTCTATCAAGGGCATATACCGGTACCAAACAAATATAATGACGTTAGAACTATAAAAAAGAGACATATTTCCTTTGACAAGAATGAGATGGGGGAAGATGCAACTTTGAAAATGGGTCAATTATTATTAGATCGATTATTATTCATAAAAGAAATATTAAGGTACAGAGGGGTAAACCTTTAATGTGAGAAAGCGATTTTTGAAGCGTCGAATGTGCATGTAATAAATCAACTTATAATGAGTGAGTGATGCTGTCTGTGAAAATTTCTACGAAATATATATATAAACGTTGGATACATAATACCCAAACCGAAAACCTGAAAACCATTAAAAGTATTAAAAATCCCGAATGATTTGAACGCCTGGGTACAATATAGTTGTAAGCACTCCATGAGATTAAAAATAATTTCTAGTGGCCCAGCAACCCGGTGATAACGTTAATACAATTATTTTAACGCTGTGTCACATGATCCCCCAAGGAATAACTGTGACGTGAACATCATTGCATATTGTAGCACTTTTCCCATCGTGTTGCAATTAATTTCCACTTTGCAAAAGGTCACTCTGTTAATTAGGGGTCCAATTTTTTCCATATTCCTGTCACAGCTGACATATGATTTTGTACTGGTTGAGAAGACATTCTCTAGTTTCCAAGAGTGACGAGTTAATGCAAATTACCTGTCAAACAAATAGAAACAGTTTGAAATTAATTCCAGTGATATTTCCACGCAAAATTACACGGGGCAGATGTGAAAGTGACACACAAATGTCACACCTTTGGGTCCTGAATTTATTCGAAAGTTATTCGAAATTGCAAAGAAACTGACACTCTGGATATTTCTAGTAACACTCGTTCAACTTTGCATTCAAATTTGAATGAGACAGTTGGAATTATAATTTTGATGCGACTTCCTAATTTCATGTTAAAAATATAAAATATAGAAATAAAACTGTGACATTTGGTGCGCTGTGAGTAATGTGACACGGAATAATACCTTGAAAAGTCTGGGATTTTGTTTTCTGTGTTTGAATATAGTTCTTGCAAACTGATTCTATTCCTTAATGTACGTAAGTACAGTCCACAGCTTGTTCTTCCTACATGGATGTTCCACAAATGTTTGTTTTAAAAAGTGGTATACATCTTATTACCGGATACTAAGAATTTAGATTTCAACATGGCGCAAACTGTAACAATTGCGCAAGTGTACTTACGCTTGTTTGAAAACACCCACGGCAGACTGAACGCAGAGGTTGCCTACGACAAAAGCAAACAAATGCATAGACTATTGTGATACATGTTTCAAACAGTGCATTTGGTCTCAGACAGATCAGTTTTAAACTGATTTTTAATTCATTAAAATAAAACATATATTTCAAAGTGATATTAGGAACTTGTGAAAAGAAAATACAAAATAATGCCCGTGTCAAACCAACCAGTACTCTAACAGATCCCAAACTGCAAATCCTGCAAACAGTTACGAACTCCGACTTCCTTCTTTGTAAATTCAACAAGCCCAACCTCTTCTAACACGTCCAGTTGGCCCATTCAAAGCCTTCTCACTAATCAAACTTTTCGTGCACAGCCAATTTTTCTTAAGAACAGAGGCACCCACTCATCCCCCAATGAGAACCATGGCTAAACGACACTTCTAAAGAAACAAAACGACTCTAATCACTTTCTTACAGTTGGAACAGCCTGGCCAAGCATAGCGCAGTAACAACCATAATCAGTATAAGGCTGAGTGCTGGCACGACTAGTGCCAAAGTGATAGTCTTAATACCGTCTGTCGCCTCCGAAGATGAATCTGTAATAGGTTGGAGGAAAATGTAAAAATAAACACTTTATTGAAAAGTAATACAATTGGCACAGGCCTCTAATTTCTTTAGGAAAACAGGTAAATTAAGGACACGTCCTTTGTTATACTTCGATGAAGAACTGTAAATAAATGTCAATGTTATTTTGAAAAAGACATTTCAGGATTTTCTTCTTTTACAAAGTGATTGATTAAAAAATGCACCGACGCTTCTATGGTCCTAATTCACGTCATTAGAGCACTTTGCTGCTCATAAGTAATAGGCACATTCATTCCATTAACAATCTGTATCTTTCTCTGTAATATTGGGCTTTTGGGCCGATTAGTTTGGTTGATTTGGTTTGGTTTGGTTGGGACAAAATTAACAAATCCAAAATTCAAAAATTGGGGATCGGGAACAATCGACACATTGTCGATTTCCTCCCAATATCAGGACACAGAGAATTACCAAAATAATACATAAATAATTAATTATCACAAGCGTTAAGTAAAAGACAGCTGACGATTAGTTTAGTTGGTGTTATAAATTCCATGATTTAAATATAATTATGGACAAAAAGTTCGTTCCATTAAAGTTAACATTGCTTTACTGTAAAAACTACAGTCACATTGCGGGTTTCTACGGCAAAAAAACCGACAAAACTCAGCAACGGGTATTAATTAGGAGCTACACAACTTACTGCCTGCAATCTCTCCCCCGGTAACTGTGGTAGAAGTATCGCTCTCATCATACTCGGTTGTGGAAATTTGGGTTGTAGAGGTCTGTTTCTTAGAGGCCCTGGATGCCGTTGTGCCAAGCTGGGATGGTGTTGTTACCGACCGGGCCTGCGTAGTGTGAGACTTGGTGGAGAGCGATGTAATAGACTGGACAGCCGATATGGTCTTTATTGTGACTGGCTCGGCCTTCGTCTGCATTGTAATCACTTGGGTATGCATTACAGGCGGGACCAATGCTGTGATAGATTTGGTTGGAGTTACGCCAGGCCGAGCTGGTGTAATAGTAGGCCGAGCCAACGTGGTTTGTTCCAATTCTTTTGTGGTAAGCTTTGCTGTTGTGAGAGGTTGTGTAAATGTTGTTAAAAGCTGGGATAGTGTTGTCGACCGAGCTGCAGGCTGGGGCAAGCTTGCTATTTGATTTGTGACAGTCTTGGCGGCTGCAGTAGAGGAGTGAGTTGACGCTGCAGTCTGTTGCAGCTGTGTTATGCCGCGATTGGCTGTTTTGACAGAATTTGCAGTTGTTGATAGCTGGGCCGGCTTTGTGGTCTGCGTTGTGACAGAAGTCGTGGCAGGGTGGGTCCGTGTTGCATTGGGCTGAGTGACAGAGGTTGTGACAGGCTGGGTCCGTGTTGCATTGGGCTGAGTGACAGAAGTTGTGACAGGCTGGGTCTGTGTTGTATTGGACTGAAACTGTGTTATTTCAGTTGGTTTTTGTTGTGTTGTAAGCGTGGCCACCATAGCTGTCTTGAAATCAGAAGTAATGGGTTGAGTTGTTGTTTTAAAAGATTGTGTTGTGATGGGTTCATTTGATGTTGTACGCACAACTTTTGTCGTTGGCTTGATCGTCGTGGTTGGCTCTCGCGACATCGTTGAGTGGATCTTCATGGGCGGTATTGTTGTTGGCCCTAACAAAATGGCATCACTACTATTCGTCGAACCGAGAACCTGCATTAGATCAAGTGCAAAAAGCAACGAGCAGCACAGCATACTTATACATTTTTATTTATAGGAATCACTTCCCCTTTTATGGAATTCACATAACCTTATTAAGCTTTTTATATTCTTTTTTTTAAACGATAGATAATATTTGGGACCGCAATGGAAATAAGTTTTTACAACTTTTTTGCGTCATCCCTGCTCTTTCCACAAATGTTTTTGCGTTGTAATACTGGTATGTAGCCAAAGTCCTGATATCTTAATTTTATGTATAGTTTTATTGAAATCAAAATGCATTTTATTATTATTTTATCGTATGTGGAAAGGCAAACAAATCAAATCAAGGTAAACTTGGGATTAATACCTGACTACAAATACAGCCTGGAGAAATAAGAATACAATGTAGAATACAACATTTCTGGTCAAGAGTTACCAGAAATGCCAACTAAGCAAAATTAAACTTAGTCCTAAGTGATCAGATTAATACAAAAATACATAAAGTTTACCAAAGCGCCTAGGGCCTAAGTAGTGTGTATATACCGAGAAAGTAAGATAAGTATGCCCGTTTGTCCTCTTCTTTGGTCTTTTTCTACACTGATCTACCACTTGTGTAGCAAAATTTAGTCGGTGTACAATTTATGATACCTTGTACTAAAAAGAAAGAAAAAACGAAGGTTACCCACCTTACAACTGAATGCAATCAGCAAAAACAACACAAAGAGGTATACGAAGTTCATGGTCTTGAACATGCCAACCTTATCTTTGAGTACATTCAAAACAGTAGGACACATCAATGCCAAGGGCGCTTTTTCTGCCCCTGCCGTAGAAGCTTTTGTTTCAAATGTTAGTTGAGGCGACGTCTGCTGGTGTTAGTTGTATTACTGTACTAGTGGCAATGCAGCTCCATCAGTCCGTCGTCAACCGAATGGTCTTCTTTAGCATGATATGAGTCGTATTACTCCCTGCCCCGAGCGAGATGATCCGTTGGGAGTTTAATTTTCCTGTGGCGAAGTTTCCACGTACACCATGACGTGTGCACAGTCAGTGACGTGGGCGTATTGTAACATTATAATCCCTAATAGATACAACTCTAAAGAGATAATGCAGTGTATACAGACTAAACCAAAAGCCAAGTTAACACATCTCGCAAGATTTCTGAATGCCAACTTCCAGAAGTTTCCCAAATATTGCAATTGTAAGTCATTATCCAATTTGCGCACGTTTATTTTCTTGAGATAAAAAAGGTGAAAGAGATCAACAGTTTATGCATGGTAGAAAAGTCTAGGCAATTATAACACACTTGAGAAATATTAATATTACGTGATCTAATGACCTTTGCAGAATTTTTGTACAAAACAAACTTTAAAAATTATGTTGGCCTACCTAACTGAATATTGATTTCTCTTACGTCACAATGTCAGAACAATGCTTTACATAGGAGGCCTGTTACAATTTAAGTAATGTTTTGTTGCAAAAGCAATTAATGATCGATGCAAGGATCTTCTCCGGTACCGGTCAAAGTAAATAATTTCAACTGGAACAGAACCAGAAAGGAACAGACAATCGAGGAAGTGTTACTAAGTCGCTTAAATCCAAGCAAAACAACATAACAGACAACAATTAATTGTGGGAATAAAACACTGCAAAACTGAAAACCAGAATCAAGGGTTTTTAGGAACAAGAAATAATCAAAATTTAATTATATACACTTGACTAAAGAACACTTTTGAGATCAGCAATTTGAAAGAAATATATTCATTACAAAGTAAATTTATTAACCGGCTTGGCCATGGCTGCAGAAGAGGAAGTGCCTCCAAGGGTGGTATTCCGAAGCCGGTCTTCGGAACGTCGTGAGAGAGTTCTTGCCTTGGTCTTGATGGCAACTGGGGCGATCTCCAACATCCCGTGCACCGGTCCGACAGGACTGCTTGAAAGGTTGTTGGGTCAGCCGGCGGGAACTCGGGCTCGTGGACCCGTCGGGTCAGGTCGCAGGGCGTGGCGGTGGCGAGGAGATTGCCAGCAGTCGTTTGGCTTGGCAATTTAGACGGAGACCTCGGCTGCACGATCAACGATCACTCATGACGCCTGAAGACTGTAGAAACACAGCATATGAGGAAGGGCATTGCCCACGCCCTCAAAGTGCAAAGCTCAGAATCCAACGAGGAATATAATTCCTGAACTTTTAAAGTCCAGTGTGGTCAGACCCCAGCGCGGACAACTATTTGAATCCAGTGACTGGGCCTCCACTTACTAGTTTACATAATATTCAGAAATCTTAATCTTTGCAAATTCTTAACAGAAAGAACTGTTGTTAACTAACTGGTAACGCATATCCAAGCAAAGTGGCCACGCAATTGCGGTAGAGTTTAACAGGTATGAGTTGAAATTCAGGAGGCAACATAACACCCATTAGCTTCTAGGCAGAGGCACTTGCTTCTCCCTCCTCCCCCGCCCCCATAGAGAAAAGGAATGTTTAAAGGGTCAAAGAAAAGGCAGGGTAAAAGGAACGCGGATAAAAAATAAGGGTAAAAAGAGCAAATGAGACGAAAGTCACCAGTTTGCTATATATTTATATTTTGTGATCCCTTAGGGGTATTAACAAGAAGAGGCGTCATGGTCGATCAGGACCGATTGTAGCACTTTCTCTCTAAATCAAGGGCGTGGGAATTGTGGCTTCCAACACGGGTTTACTTAGTCCACAAATACCTCCAACTTGTGGGTTATTTTGCAGAGGCTAGCGGGGACCTTTAGGGTGTCTTGGAAGGGGGATAATTAAGAAGTGAGGTGGCTAATAAGGGTGAAATTGAAAAAAGCTTTTCTAGTTGTCGTGATCTTCACCTGGCGCGTGAAAGCGTAGAGCCGTTTTCCAATACCTGACTTCGTCTCCATTTGAGGCTTCATTTTATTTCAATTTGTATATACCTGACTTTGAAGTCTAAGCTCAAAAGTAAGTCAGATAGTGTTTCATGAACATCAAATTAGATGCTAATAGTAATGTATTACAGCATTTACTTTGATCACTTCACACCAAACGCAGATTGCTTTCGAGACAAAGCCTGAACAGAGACGAAACCAAGTAAAACGGCCTAAATTGTTGGGACACTTGGCAATATATAGCCATACGATCTCCAGTCCCGATCCCCACTCCCCTGGTCAATGTTATCCTGTCCAGCGGGAGCGCAGACGGCGCGCATAGACCCAACATTGTGTCTACGGTGCCGTTTGGCCTATTTTTTCTGGCGTTATTTGCGGAAAACAAATGCCAGCCAACTGTTACGTATAGACAGATGTACATTTCGGGCAAATTGTACAAGCAAAAGTAGGACAATAGTCCATTTTGTATTGTGCGTGTACAGTCACAACTGTTTTGCAGGAGGGCATCGGAGACGATGTACCATGGCATTACTTTCCATAACTGTGCAAAAAATAAATATGGGATGGTCAATACTTGCATTTGATTTTTAGAAATTTTCGAGAAATGACAGGTACATTTTGGCAGTATTCTATCTTGAGTTGTGAAAAGGGAGTACTTGACAACGTAATGGTGACTTTTTGCCGTGCCATTTTTGTAACTCCGAATACCGATACTAAACCTGTGGCCAATGAGGCACCCATTAGCTATAATGACAACATTAAGTTTCAGTCAGATCAAAATATTACTAAATCTAACGTGGGTTAACGAGGGGGAAAACCCGAATGGCCTATGCGCCTTTTCCGGCGACAATGAGGTAAAACCAAAAGCTTTAACTATCTTGACATTTAGTGCAATCTCGATGTCATTTTCTGTTGTTTAAATTCCAGCGACTAGGCATCGATCGTTTCTTTTGAGTTTATTTCATTATTTTCCAACTTGTATTTTTTTTGGCAGACCTGTCTGGTCAGTGATGGATTTTCCACTCACAAGAAAGAACAGCAGTTGCAACACATTTGTTGGGACGTTGGGGTGACTCAAGAAAGTATGAGACGTATCTTTTTTGAGAATTTCTCTTTGAAAATATCAAATTATTTTGCAGTTGAAAGCCAACGAAATTTGCTGTTATATACAAATGGAAATGTACTTTCCATCAATAAAATAGCGAGGCAAGTGCCGCCCGGCTGTTCCACCCCTGGATCTGTTACCGAACTGTTGAATCATCAATGATAAATATTTTCTATATATCTCACAGCTTTTGTACTAAAATCATTGAGAAGAAATTGACCGAAACACGGTTTGGATTGTCGGGTGTTTCATTGTCGAAAATTAAGGAAATTAAGATTAGAAATGAAAACAAATCAGCATCAATACCTCAGCTCACTGCATTAAAAATCAGAAAATCGCCTTGTGGGTTCTGCTCCCAGGGACATAAAAAATGTGGTGAGGGGG